GAGTGGGGGTTGAGAGGCTCACCAGAAGCAGGTGGTGACAGTTGGGCTCTGAGGGAATTCCTGAAGAGCTCCTGTGGTGCTGCGTGTGTTCTAAAAATAAAGTTCGTTTCTGCTTGACAAGTGGCTCATGAATTGTGCCCAGCCAGACTGTGGCATTTGGTGGCCCTCACGGGGAATGAACCTGCGACCTTAGCGTTATCAACACCAAGCTCTGATGAATCCAAATTTAAAAAGTTTAGAGTAAAAAGGGTTATTTTAAGTTTATCTTTGGGGAATATATACCCCTTCCCAATTCCCTCTTTTTGCTTTAGTAAGTACATTTTAATAGTTTGATGAGCTCTTTCAACTATGCCTTGTCCCTGTGGATTGTATGGGATTCCTGTTATATGAGTAATGCCAAATGATAAGCAAAATTGTTTAAAAGAGGTAGAGGTATAGCCAGGACCATTATCTGCTTTTAACTGTTTTGGAACACCTACAGTGGCAAAATTTTGTAAGCAATGAGCTATAATATCTTTAATTTTTTCTCTGGTATGAAGGGAACCCATCAAAAATCCGGAAGAAGTATCAACTGTAACATGCAAATATTTTAATTTTCCAAATTCTGGCAAATGTGTGATGTCCATCTGCCAAATATGGTTAGGTATCAGTCCTCTATGATTGACTCCAAGATTAACTTGTGGTAAAAAGGTCGCACAATTTTGACATTGTTTTATTATTTGTCTAGCTTGTTCCTTAGTTATTTTAAAACGCTTTTGTAAAGTATTAGCATTGACATGAAACTTTTTATGAAAATTTGTAGCTTCTTCTAGTGTAGAGAAAATATGTATGTCATGAGTAGTTTTATCTGCTAAATCATTGCCCAAACTAAAGGCTCCAGGCAATCCTGTATGTGCCCTGATATATCCTATAAAGAAAGGATCTTTTCTGTCCCAGATAAGACTTTGTATAGTGGAAAACAAAGAGAAAGCAGTAGAGGAAGGGGAAATCCTGCCAGCATCTTCAAGGGATACTATAGCATTAACTATATACTGACTATCGGAAAATAAATTAAATACAGAATCTTTGAACATCACAAAAGCTTGTAATACTGCATTAAGCTCTACCTTTTGAGCTGATTGTTTGGGTACTAAAAATGTAAAAGTTTGATCAGGGGTAACTACTGCTGCTGTACCATTATTTGACCCATCAGTGAATATATTTGGAGCATTCATGATAGGTGTTTTTCTTGTCATTTTTAGAAAAATTACAGGATGTGATGACCAAAAAGACAACAAAGGATTAGATAGATGGTAAGTGGTTATCAAATGAAACATTAGATTTGCACATGATTATTGCCCAAGTATTTAACTCATTAGCTAACTCATCAATTTGATCCATAGTAAATGGATTAATAATTTTATTGGGAGAAATTCCAAACACTCCCTTTGCTGCTTTTATTCCTTTGAGTATTAATTGTCCTACAGCCTCAGTATACCTAGTAAGAATAGTGTTAGGAGAATAAGATAAATGTAAAATCCATAATAATGGACCTTCTTGCCAAAACACTCCTGTAGGAATATTTTTTGTTGGTAGTATAATAAATAATAAAGGCAAACTTATATCAATTCTATCCAAATGCATATTTTCCATATATGTTTCAATAATTTTTAATGCCTTTCTTGCTTCAGGCGTTAACATTCGGGGTGAATTTGGATCTGATGGACCTTTTAGGATATCAAATAAAGGTCCCAACTCTCCTGTTGGTATACCTAGATAAGGCCTTATCCAATTTATGTCTCCTAATAACTTTTGAAAGTCGTTAATTGATTTGAGTTGAACTATTCGTATTTGAATTTTTGGTGGACGGACCATGGTTGAGGATAATAGAACTCCTAAATAATTAATTGGAAAATTTAATTGTACTTTATCTATTGCTATCTCTAGATTATAATTTTTAAATAAGTTTGTCAGTGTGGCATAACATTCTAGCAATGTGTTTTTATCTTTGTGTGCTAATAATACATCATCCATATAGTGAAATATTTGTAGTTCAGGATTTTGATTTCTAAGTGGCTGGATTACTTTGTTAACATAAATTTGACACATAGTTGGGCTGTTAGCCATCCCTTGAGGGAGTACTTTCCATTCATATCTCTGATCAGGACCTTCATGATTTAGTGCAGGGATAGTAAATGCAAAACGTGGACTATCCTCAGGATGAATTGGAATTGAAAAAAACAATCTTTAATATCTATAACTAAAACATACCAGGTTTTTGGCAAAGCAGACAATTGATGAATCCCCAATTGAGCAGGTCCCATAATAACCATCTCATTATTAATGGCTCTTAAATCTTGCAATGTTTCCTTGTGTGTGTGTTCCTTAATATTTCTGTATATAAGGTCACAGAACTGTAAAGAGACTTCTGTTTTGGATGGCTCTTTTTCCCCCCTATTCTTTCTTCTTGCCTAATTACCCAGGCTAAATATTCCAATAAAATATTAACTAGAATTGGTGAGAGCAGATGGCTTTGTCTTATCACTGATCTTATAAGGGAAAAAAATAGTGTTTCTTTTTAAAGTATGATAATTCAGTTTTTATTTTTTAAGTATGACGTTAGCTATGGCGTTTCTACTTTTTTTAGTTGTGTGGTTTTCTGAAATGCCTTTTATCAGGTTAAAGAATTTCTTTTCTATTCCTATTTTTTTAATCATGAATGGGCACTAGATTTCAGCAATCAAAAATTTTTTTCTATCAAAATCATATATATTTTGTCCTTTATTTTATTAAATGGGACATTACATTAATCAATTTTGGGATACTAAATCAACCTCATATTCTTGCAATAAATCCCACTTTGTTATGGTATATATATTTTTTATATGTTGCTGAATTTGCAAGTGTTTTTTGAGAATTTCTATGTCTATTGCCGAAAGCTCAGTCCTTGTCCCTGATGCCAATCCAATAAAGAGGACATGGTTTTGAGAAAAGGGAAAAAGTTTTATTGCTTTGCTAGCAAAGGCAAAACACAGGGGATTCCTGTCCCAAAGGCTGTGATTCTGCCCATCGGCAGAACAAGGTGGCTTTTATAGAGGTGATTCAGAGAAAATGAGATTTGAGAGGAGAGATCAGGGAAAAGAAGATCAGGGAGGAGAAGGTTAGGGAAATGAAGATCAGTGACAAGAAGATCAGGGAGAAGAAGGTTGGGGGGAAAAAGTAAGTCTCATAGCCACAAGAGATATAGTCAATGATTCAACGGAATGCTTGTTACATGTTACATATCTATTCATAAGGAATATTTCTCTGAAATTTTCTTTTCTTGTAATTTATTTACCTTCTTGAGTTCAAAGTAATCCTTGCCTTATGGAATGAATTGCAAAGTGTTCCCTCCTCTTGTATATTTTGAAATAGTTTCTGAAGGAGTATTCTTTAAATGTTTGGTGGAATTTACTAGTGGAGCCATCTGATGCTAGGTTTGACTTTGTGAATAGTATTTTTTCGTTCTTATTCAGTTTCTTTACTTATTGTAGATATATTCAGAGTTTTAATTTTTTTCCTAGGTCAGTTTAGGTGGTTTGTGTCTTTCTAGGAATTTCTTCTTATCTATGTTATCTAATTTGTTAGCATACAGTTGTTTGTTGTTTTCCTACTTACTCCTGTTATCTCTGTAGGGTTGTTAGTTATGTTTCTTCTTTTATGTTAATAATTTGAGTTTTGTCTCTGTTTTCCCCTTAGGTAAAAACAACTTCTAGTTTCACTAATTTTTCTCTATTGATAATTCTGTTAATTTTTTTCTGATCTTTATTATTTCTCTTATTCTGCTTGCTTTTTTTTTTAGTTTTCTCTCCCTTTGTTAGTTTCATGCCTCTAGTCTTGTCCCACCTTTTCCAATTCATCTTCAACTGTTAACAAATTTGTGTATCCAAATCACAAATGTGATGACGTCATTCAGATACTTAAAATCTTCTGATTGTTTCCATTTCTTACAGCATAAAATTCAAATTCTGTGGAATGGCATAGAAGCTCATTTTTCATTTTAATCAGTTTACCTTACTAATCATCTAGAAATAAATGTATAGACACACACAAACACACACACACACATATTCACAAATATACATAAACACTTCTACATACACATATACTCATATATAAATACACAACAATGAATGTGTACATATATGTTTGTGTGTATATACATGTGCTTTCAATTTATTATGCTCCCTGACTTGTTAAAAAAAATTCCTTAATTCCAATCGCCCACGATTGTTGAATAGTTATTTCCTCTTCCCTGTTACCACTGCACTTAGCACAAACCTCTTTCAGACGAACACTTACTAAACACTGTTAGCTATTGGAAATAAGTTGATACACTTACTAAATACTATCTACTGACACATGCGTTCATCATTGTTCTGTGAATTCCATAATAAGAGATCCTATTTTACAAATTAGTTCCCAAGAGCATGGAGTGAGTGTTCAATACATGTTTGTGGAGTTAAGTGGGGAAAAACGGTGTGGTCTGGTCTTACTTTCACTGGGAAATGGGATGATGTACTTCGGCAATGAAATGGAAGAGAAAAGAAGGCCTCACGCTGCGTACTGCTTTGGTTCATAAGATCGAGAATACTGACATCCCTGTACTATGAATTAACCTTTGCAGAGGAGACCACTTTAGATAATGCTCAAGCCCTACTACCATCATGTTAATAAACTGAGGAAGGGAGATTAGGGAATTCACCTAAGGTTAAACATAGTGCAAGTTCCTACAGCGACTAAGACGGACAAGTATTTTTAGTCTGTAGTGTCTTGCTCAGCCTTTGGGCAAGCAGTCAAAGGTACTAGCAGCAGGGGTCCAGAATGGAATCGCGAACTTGGAATCGTGCCCAACTATTCCAAGCCTTAGACCTGTCTGTATTCATTGCGCATGCGTCAGCTTCCCCGCTCTGCCTTGGACTGGCGGGATAGAGCCTTTGCTCCTTCCGTAGAACTTGAGGGAGAGGAATCAAGCTGTTTCCATGGTGACGGAGCGAAAGCCTCGATGGTCGATTGAGCAGGTCTGCGCGAGGTTCCCAGAGGGCTGCGCGGGGTCGGTTCTTCGGCGCTGTCATGGCGGGTGTGCTGAAGAAGGTGAGACGAATGGAGGTCACTGTTGGAATTTAGATCGTGGACAAAGAGTCAGCCCGATAGCCTTTCTTCCCACGGGGGTAGTGACTATAACTGGTGCGCGCGAGGCGGTGCTTTTTGGGGATTTGTTCTGCCCTTCTTTCAGGGGGTGTCCAGGTTAGTGACTCTGCTCGTAGAAGCAGAAAATAAGTTCCGAATGAGCGGAATTGAGAGACTGTTACCTGACTTTAGACCAGATTAGCCAAGGGAGTGCGGGTTTGCTTAGTAAAGGAAGAGCATGCGCGGAAACCGTAGTAAACTCGAATCGTGTTTTGTTTTTGAACAGACCACTGGCCTCGTGGGATTGGCTGTGTGTGAGAGTCCACACGAGGTAGGTGCCTCTTTCCTTTCTTCATTCCTGGGTCCCTGAGAAAGCCTGGAACCCTGCGACCTTGTTGGTGGCAAAGATAGAGGATGTGGATATTTCAAGCCCTCAATCACAACGCCGAGAGCTCTTGAGAAGGGCAGTAGCTACCTCTTGATCCACTGTCACTTTCTTTTTTCTTTCTTTTTTGGGCCATGCCCTCTTTATTAAGCCACTTTTCTTGTTGACTTTTTCCTTGGTATTCTCGTTGCAGTTGTATACACACTTCTGTCAGCTTCCTCCCAGATCTGTATCTCCATTTTTCATCCTTTTCCCCACCACACCAGTTCTGCTTAGGTGCCATAGATTCTACACTCTTGACTTTGCTTATGGTAGCACACTAGCAGTTACCTCCTTTTCCCTTAATATTCTGAAATGCTTTCATAAAACAAAACAAAACAAACTAAGCTTCATTTAATCCCTCCCTACCTTCAATAATCACTGTCCTTCCCTTTATGAATAACTCAAAAAAAGTATTTACAGCCTCTAATTTCTTATTCCCCCTTGAATGTACTTCAGTCAGGGTTGGCCAGAACTGTTGTTTTTAAAGTCATGAAAGATGCCCTTGGTCCCAAACCCCGTGATTAGCCCATGTTTCTCAATTTAATTGATCCAACAGTAACATTTTGACAAATTTGATACTCTGCATCAAACACTTTGTTTAGTGGGTGTCACTTCCTAAATCTGCTTCCTCCTCCCCCCCTTGTCTTTTGCCTTCTCCTTTTCTGATTGTTCTTCATCATCCCATTTTTTAAAATTTTTGTAGTTCTTCAAGATTTTAGTGTTTGGATCTTTGTTTAGATTTGATCTCTCTTGGTGAGTGGACCCAGTTTTAATGGTTCTAAATACTATCATACATTCTTAAATTTCCATATCAACTCTTGACCTCTCCCTTTATGAGAGTCGCGTATTTTATTGCTTAATGAACATCTCCACTGTATGTCAGACAGGTAACCCAAACTTAACATGTCCAAAATGAAGTTCCTGATCTTCCTAAAACCTGTTCTTTCCTCAGGCTTGCTCTTGTCAGTGAATGGCAGTTCCATTTTTTTGAACTCAAGTCAAAAACCTTGAAATGATCTTTGATTCCTTTCTTTATTTCACACCCTACATTTGCCACTTCTACCTTCAAAATATACCTAGATTTTGATCACATCTCACCACCTCCTCTGCCATTATCTTTTCTGCGACCATCATTGCTGCTGGGAACAATTTCATTAACTTCCTGTTTGCCTCTCCCTGTTTGCCACTATTCTTTTTCAGCCAAGAAATGTGAGGTCCTGCCATTTCTTTACTTAAAACCCTTCAATAGCTTTTCATTTCACACTGAATAAAAGTTAGGGTCCTTGTAATGACTCTAGATCACTAGCAGACAGCATTTTACTGATTTTTCTACTAGAGATAGGTTTCATGAAGGCAGGGATTTTTTTTTTTTTATTGTTCACTGTATATTATATGGTCAGTAAATAATGTTTATTGGATGAATGCCTTGCACTTATAAATTATGAGTTCATGATGACTTTATACTTAGTATTGTGTAGAACTGAGCTTATAGTTTTCCCCTTCTAAGTATGCTTCTTCTTCATCAGACTGTATTTCTCTTAATGGTATCAGAAACTTTCTACTCCCAAGCTGTGAATTTGGATATCGTAGTGTTACTTCTCTTCCCTATACCTTCCTATTTATTTCAGTGATGAATTCTGTTGATTTTTTTTTTCTAACAGCTTTTCAGCGTGACTTTCTTATACCTACTATTACTACCACAATGTAGGCCCTTGTTCTCATTTAGAGAATTGCAACAACTTCATTATTGACTTTTTCCCACATTTCTCCTTCATTCTTTTTAACTTGCTGCCTCCTGAAACCTAGATCTAATCATATGATTTTTCTAAATCTTTTAATTACCCACACAATGAAGCCCAAATGCTTTAACTTAGAATGCAAAATTACTTACAATTTGTCTTATCCTTCTGTCTTATCTCCTCAGAATTTCCTCATATGTCCTGTATTCTGTCCAAGTGCTGTGCAATGAAAATATGAGCCACAAAACATATAAGCTGTTTTAATGTAATTTTAAATTTTCTAAAAATCACTTTCTTAATATAGAAAAAAAGACTTCTAGCTGACAGATCTGACATAACCATTTCAATATATAATCAATATGAAAATATTTTATAGTTTTTTTATACGGAATTATAAAACACGTTGTATTTTTATTTAGAGAACACATCGTAGTTTGGATTAGCCCCATTTCAGGTGCTCAATAACCATAGTTGGTGTGCAGCTATGGTATTGGATAGCACAGTTCAGAAAAATAAAACTATCCTGTTTCCTTTTTGTTCCCTGTGTTTTCTGCCATTCAGTCCTATGTATTTGATGTGAAAATTGCTTTTGCCAAAGTCTTCATTTTTCCAAGTCCTACCATTCCTTTAGGTTTATCTCAGAAGTTACCTTTTCTGGTCTCTGCTGAAGTGATTCCTTCTTTCCTTGTGGAATAATAATGCTAACATTTATTTGTGCCTCCTATTATTTTAAGTGATATAATACCCAATGAGGCAGATATTATAGTCCACCTTTTACAGATGAGGAATGAAGGCACTCAAATGGAAATAACTTGTCCTTTGCAACTAAGCACTGGCAGGCAGTGAAGCCAGGCAGTCAGGTTCTAGTTAGCACACACTTAACCATTGCTTATTGCTGGTCTTTCTGTTCTACATTCTTCCCATCCCTACCATGAACATCTTTTTAAATTTTATGGCGTTGACTACCTTATAATATCCTAAACATACTGGAAATGGGATCCATGACCAATCTATCTTTATATCCAAATAGCACACAGTATAATATCATACATGGCAGTATAGTGGAATACATTCTTATTGAAAAAATAATATTCTTTAGGAGAAGTATTTATATACCTGCAGTCATTGAGATACATTTAAAGTGACTGTGTTTCTTGTTTGAATGGACTATTCTGTTTTACACCTATGTTTTGGAATAATGATTAGTGGTATCTTTCACTCATAAGGGTCCTATAGTATTCTTTTTTTCTATATTAATCATTCATGGTGCTAATGTGTATTTTTCTAGGAATAGATATATTTCTAGCAGGAAAAATTAAGATATTCTAAAAACCAAATATTTAAATCAGATTATAATTTTATTAAAATGCTATCTTGAAAACTAATATGTGCCTTACGTACATGTAAATTGGAGAGGATAAGAATTAGAAATATTTGTAAGTTGAAACTGAAAGCTTAAATTAATGGTTTGTAGACATAGACAGGGAATAATTAATTGGAACCTAAGTCTGTTGGCCAGGACTTTCTATTATCTTCTTCTTTGCTAAAAATTAAGAAGAAATGAGGCTAAAAAAACCCTGCACAATTGTGACTATATGTTATCTGACAAGAGCATCCTTAATCTGAAAATCTAAAGTCTAGAATGCTCAAATATGAAACTTTTTGTGTGCTGATGTGATGCCACAGATGAAAAATTCGCACTTGAAATATTGTATAAAATTACTTTCAGGCTATGTGTTTAAGGTATATATGAAATATAAATGAATTTTGTGTCTTAACTTGGATTCCATCTGTAAGATACTTCATTATGTATATTCAGATATTCCAGAAGGCAAAATGTCCTGATAGTCAAACCACATCTGGTCCCAAAGATAAGGAATAGTCAATCTCTGTAGTAAAATATTCTCTATTATGAAACATCATTTGAAATATGTAAATAATGGCTAAATATGTAGACCTTTTTTAATAAGTAAAACTAATCTTAGAGACCTTCAGAGTTTATTTGTATATATACATATATCTATTGAATTTATATTTGAATGAAACTAGATATTAGTTTCTCTGGGTTTCATACAATTAAACTGAAATAAATTTCAAGGACAGGGATATAGCTCAGTGGCTCAGTGGTAAAGGGCTTGCCCAGCATCCACGAAGACCTGGTTTCAGGCCGTAGTAGCACACACAAAAAACAAAAAGAGTTTAATATCAATTAAATACAAAGAAAAGTACAGACTTCTTAAGTACACAGTACATTTATAATTATATTTATTACATGAACTGCTGTGGGTTAGGATCTGCCAAGACAACAACTTAGCATTATTGGCTGACTGTACTCAGTGTGCTTCAGTATATGCTGGGTAGTGAATCCCTTCTATTCTTTTTCTGTTGAACTTTTGATGAAAATTGAATTCACTTGGTGCTAACACAATTGTAATCACAAAGAAACACTGACTATTATAATTATTCAGTTAAATTTTATTATACTAAAGATCTAATGCATGTGTGTGTGTGTGTGTGTGTAATTTCTATACAAGTTCAACTAAGAAAAACAGAAAAAAATTTATAGTGCCTAGGACCTCAGTTAGAGAAATATTGATCTGCTAAATGATTTGATTTCCAAGAAAGGTCATCAGCTTTAAGTTAGTTTTATTTCTGCTCATTATTATACCTGGACTCATGTACAACTTTTATTGCGCATACAAGACATGGAAAGAGTTTCCACATTTATATTCAGTTTTCCAGAGTTGTAAAGGGTAGAGATAGGGTACAGACAGAAAAAATTACAGTGAAGAAAAATTAAATTTTCTTTAAAAACATAAGATGTGAATCCTTTTAAATTTTTCTGTGAAATTCTTGTTTAAATGTTCTTTCTAATCTTTGGTGATATTTTAACCTATAGAAATTTGTATGGCTTGTCTTTTCAGAGGCTCAGAATATTGTACACAAAGATTCTTGATGTTCTGGAGCAAATCCCTAAAAATGCAGCGTATAGAAAATATACAGAGCAGATTACAAATGAGAAACTGGGAATGGTTAAAGCGGTAAGTAGCTAACTCATTTTTGTTCTTTTGGATTTATGTAGCCTATGTTACATTTAACCAAAAAATTCATTTGCTTCTTTTGCACTTCCTGTACAATTGCTCTCTTATTTGTAGTCTCCTTCCTTCAGTGCTTTTCTTCCATCTTTTCTCCTTTTCATTTAGCAAACTCTTGTTTAATAAGTGCTTTCTAAATGCAAAACACTGTTAATTACTAGAATGCAAGAATCAGATCAAGTCCTTCTCTGAGGTAACATTGTAGCTGTAACTTTTACTTTTCTTCTCTGTATAGTTTAATTCTTTATTGATATTTTGCATTTAATCGGTAGATACTGGGCAGGAACTTTGTTGTCACTTTGATATTGGGCTTCTGGTCTCCAGAACTCTAAGAGAATAAATTTCTGTTCTTTAAGCCATCTAGTCTATGTATTTTGTTATGGCAGCCAAGCAAACTAATACAAGCATTTTATAACTTAAATATCAAAGGCACGGGGCTGGGGATGTGGCTTAAGCGGTAGCACGCTTGCCTGGCATGCGTGCAGCCTGGGTTCGATCCTCAGCACCACTTACAAACAAAGATGTTGTGTACGCTGAAAACTAACTAACTAACTAAATATTAAATCTCTCTCTCTCTCTTTCTGAAAAAAAAAATTAAAAAAAAAATCAAAGGCACTAGACAAGATCACAGTAAACTACTGCTGTTTTTTTTTTTTCATACCAAACTGTATTGCCTTGTTAAATTTTCATACAAATAATTTCATCAATTATTTCATGAGCTTTATGTTATTATCAAAAGTAGTGGTCATAAATTCCGGAAGTATTTTATATACATTCAAAAGTGATCTTAATTTATATTTATTATTCTTATTAGATCACCAATCTTTATATTTGAAAAGAACTCCTGTCTTTTCCTTTGATATACAGCAGGATAATGCAACTTAATTTGGAATTTTTGTTCTTACCTTGGCAATTGTGGAAGTAATTTTATAGATTGAAGTCTCTAATACGGAAGTTCATTTTTTTTTTTTCATTTTGTTTTCATGTTTTCCTTGAGTGAGGAAATTTTTTTCCCTATCATGGAATAAGAAATTTCCCTTTTTCTTTTCATGAGGTGAACCTACTCAATTCCATCTTTGATTTCTTTTTTCTGTCTTTCTTCTCAATAATCTTGTTCTCCTTTGTTTATTCTGTATGTTCCCTTTTTTAGACTCTCCCATTTTATTATCATATTTAATAACCTCAAGATAATAGTAGTGTTGTTTTTCAATATGTAAATCTTACGTTAACTTCCTGCTTAAAATATTAGTATTTTACTGTTCAGTGTTTCTCAGAGACTGAGTTTAAGGATTTATGCTGAGGTGGTTATGTGAAGCTAACCTTTATCTGCATAATTTTTACACAGACCCATGTTTGGGAATCAGGATCTTAACAGAATAAAGTTTTTAGCATGGTATATACAGTCCTCTGAGATCTGGCTCTTAGTTTTCTTCTCAATCCTATTCTGTCATTTCCTCTTACACCCTATACTTCAGCAACATCAAGCTGCTGGCAATTTTGTGAATTCCATGCAATTTTATTTTTATATTATTTGTATTTTCTCTCTTCCTGGAAGGCCCCTAACCTTGTCTAGCTGGCAGTTTGCTATGGTTTGAATATTCCTCTCTAAAATTTTGGTGTTGAAACTTAATGGCCAGCATGGTACTATTAAGCAGTGATTGGTCCGTGAGTACTTCTCCCTTATGAATGAGATTAAGGCTTTTATAAATAAAGAGACTTTGTACAATTTAGGCTTTCTCTTGCCCTTTGCATCCACCACTTAAGAACATAGTGTTTCTTCCCTTTCTGAGGCTGTAGCCCTCACTGGACACCTAAACTTACCAATGTCTTAATCTTGGACTTTCCGCTTTCCAGAACTGTAGAAAATTTAGTTTATAATCTATATAGTCTTAGGTGTTTTGTTGTACCAGCACAAATAGATTAAGATAGTTCTTGAAACTCAGTTTTCAAGTATTCACTTCCTTTGTGACACTTTTTCTTACCTCCCTGAGTTTGACAACTTCCTTACATCTCTTATTGTACCTATCACATTATATTTATGCCTGTCTCATCTACTAGTCATAAGCTACTTGTGAATGATATTGAATTAATCTTTATACCCTAAGATCTAGCATAGTACCTGACACATGAGCCCTTAGAAGTATTTGTTTATTCAAATGACTAAATACAAATAGATTTTGATAATCCCAAGCATTTCATAATAGTTATATCTTTGATTTTACAGAAAATTTTACCAGTTTTTGGTAGAATTATCACATTTTTTAACCATTCACATAGTCATCCATGAATATTGTTATGATGATCAAATCTCTGTTTTCCAAGCCTAAGATGGAAATGAAAATTTTTTTTATATTATTACTTGGGAAAGATAGTAATAGCATATTGGTGAAAAACATTGGTTTGTATCTTGTCCAAGATTTTCATCAGCTCTGATTTGCTGAGTAACATGGTCTACTTTTTATTTTTTCTGTCTCAACTTCTTCATCTATAACTTGGGTATAATAACCTACCTTAAACACTTGTTGTTAGGATGAAATAGGTAATATATGTAAAAAGCTTAATCTGGTCTCAAGGACAGAGTGAGTACTCAATATATATCTTATTAAGCTTAATGCATTGGTAAATAAAAATCACATTATTGATTTACCATCAGTGAAACAAATTTATAAACTGTTTTTCAAAACAGTTTATAACAGGTCTTTCCCGAGTAGAAAATTTTGTTGAACATTCCTTGGCTTCTTTACCTTTTACCCCCTTCTGGTTCTTTTATAACTGTGATCTGCTTTCTTGTTTTGCTTTTGAGTTTTGGCCTCATTACTGAGTTAACTTGGTATTAAATTGTCTTTCTGAAACATGCTCATGTTATTTCTTTTTCCTCCCTTTTCAACTATTTTTAAAGTTATTATCTATTTAACCAAGAAATATTTATTGAATGACTGTTTATGCCATGAATAGTTCTAGGCATGGACACTAGTTCCTAGACGACAGTGAAAACAACAGATAAAAATCCTTGCCCTTAGAAATTACACATTAATGATGGGAAGCCCCAAAATAAATTAGTAAAAATGTAAATAAATGAAGTATAGAGTATATTAGAAGGTAGAAAGTATAGTGAAGAAAATAAAGCAAGGAATAATGATTTGTGCCATGTTAGGGATGGGAGATCTTATCTGTAAACTGTATTAGTATCTTGTGGCTGCTGTGTAACAAATTAACACAGATTTTATGGCTCTAAGATAATAGAAATTTACTGTTTTATTTCTACAGGCTTAATAATCTAAAATTGGTATCAGGAGCCCACATCAAATTGTTAGGGCTATGTTCTCTCTTGTGTCTCTGGGGTAGACTTTGTTCCTTGTCTCTGCCAGCTTCTGGTGAGTTTAGATTGTTTGGCTGTGGCTGCATCACTCTGATTTCTGACAACATAGTAGATTACCATCTCTTTCTTTCTCTCTGTCTCAGTGTAATTTCCCTTTACTTTTTTTTTTTTATCAGGACAGTCCAGGAAAGTCCCCCCATCTTAAGGTTTTAATGAAACCCACAAAGCCTTTGCCACAGAAGATCATAAGATAATATTCACAAGCTCTAGGGATTAATAAATACTTAAACATTTTGTGGGGCATTATTCAGCCTACTACAATGTGAGTTATCAGTAGTCCTTATTAAGAAGGTGATATTTGAGCAAAGATTTGGAGAGGGTGAAGGAATAATCCATGCAGAATTCTAGGCCATTCAGATTCTCTGAAGCAGGAACATATGAATTCCTATAATTAAAATAAATAAATAAATAAATAGAATCCTTGTTTTTCTCTTTTTAAAAAATACTATTATAGAACATAAAACCACCTGATAATGATGAAGGCTTTCTTACATATGTGGTATATGGCATGGTTCCTGACTGACTCTCAAAAAGTTTAGTATACTAGAAAATAAATAATTGACATTAAATGTTCTAGATACTATATTTATTAGAATATTTTCTTTCCAGTACTGAGGATCAGACCCAGGGCTTCACCCATGCCAGGCAAGCATTCTACCACTGAGCCACATCCCCAGCCCAGCAGTTCTTTTTAAAAATCATTTTATTAAAGTATAATGTATATAAAAATATACAGAAATTATAGTGAATTTTCACGAAGTGATCATACTCAAGTGAATACCAGACTAAAGGATATTTCTAGAACTCTAAACCCCTTGTTTCTTTAAAGTTACTATCCTGCTAACAGTAACTATTATTCTTATCTTTAACATGATAGATTCATTTACCTTTTTTTGAACTTTGTATAAATGGAATAATTATTATGTACTCTTTTGTGTCTGATTTCTTTCCATGTAATATTATGTGTGAGAGAATCATCTATTTTTGTGTATAGTTTGTTTTTTCATTTTCATCAGCAAATAGTATTCTATTATATTCAAATATCATAATTTTTTGATCTTTTTTATCATAGATTTGATTTATTTCTAGTTTGGGAGCTACAAATTGTACTGCTGTGTTCTGGAATGTGTTATTTGTTTTATATATACCCAGCAGAGGAATTTCTGGGGTCATACGATAGCATTTTTTTTTAATACCTTTATTTAATTTATTTATTTTTATGTGGTGCTAAGGATCGATTGCTCTACCACTGAGCCACAACCCTAGCCCCAGCATTTTTAAATATTTGTTTATTTATTTTTTGGTACCTGGGATTAAAGCCAGGGGCACTTAACCATTGACATCTCCAGCCAATTTTAATTTTGAGATAGGGTCTCACTAAGTTGCTTAGGGCCTCTCTAATTTGCTGGGGCTGGCTTTGAGCTTGATTGAGATCCTCTTGCTTCAGCCTCCTGAGTCACTTGATTACAGGCATGGGCCACTGTGCCTGGCTTATTTTCAATGTTAATATTCTCAGATGAAATACAGAAAACATTAAGAAAAGCAAAGTGATATTTTAAAATCTATTTTAGAAAGAATGAATTAGGCATCATATGCCTTACCTTTAATAAGCATATCAACAAATAATACTTTTTAACATTAAGACAAAAAAACAATGTAGCAGCGGAGAGAGTAAATGATTTTTACCAATTATTTGGTAAAAGTTTAGTGAGGGCATGTTGATAGGAAGATTATGTTTGTTGTAAGTGCTTTTTATATATGGGTTTTAAAATATAGGGTCTTAAAACATTCAGATATTGTGTTTCAGTAGCTAATATTTTTTTTTCCCCTGAAATGACAGGAATCAGATGTTAAAAAATTAGAAGAGCAACTTCAGCATGGCCAAATAGAAGAGGTGATTCTTCAGGTAAAGAAAAAGTTGAACATTTAAATGTTTGATTTCAAATGTTCATTTTATATAGACACACAAAACTGATAAAAGAAAGCTAAATTTCTTTGCTTTATATATTTATCAAATATAAGACTATATTTAGAAAATGTGCTACTTCTGACATGTGAACGTCACTTAAGTCTTTTATTATTATTTCTAACTTGAATTTTTGAGGCTTCATTTGGAAGATTGGAGTTTGATATTCTTTCAGTTTAGTTAACTGAAAGGTTAGTAACAGTGTGAATACAGTTTTATATTTAAAGAGCTTGGTATACTTTTAACATGGAGAAAAAAAAATGTCTGGAATCATAAAATTAAAATATACTTGTTTTTTGGTTATTGGAGCATTTGACCATGTTAAAAGTAGCTTTTAATTGCACAGTATATTGAAAGTTTGATTATACATTGTTATCTGCATACTAATCCTGACAAATAATGATACTGAATAATAAAATACAAGCATGATTATGAAAAATTATCATTAACAGCATTACATCTAGAATATTTAAATTTTAAATTATTCTATTTGGAAATATTTTATCCTATCCTCATTGTGGCCATTACTTATACAAGAAAAAAAATACTCAGTTTAATTTTGTTTAACTAGAATTTGCATTCTTTCCCCGTATTCATAGATGGGTAACAGAAATGGGCAAGAGAAGAAAACACTAGAAAAATACTGCTCTGAGCATTTGATATTTTTAAAAATCATCTATAATATTTTTGTTGGTAAAAATGTAATATTTTTTGCATTAGAGCATAGTGAATTTAACGTATCGTCTTAAAAATGGCTTAAAGAAGTCATGATAATACTATGGCTTAAATTTAAATGGATTATGTTAAAATGGACTTAAATTGGCCCAAGCTACATTCTAAAATTAGTTGTCACAAGTAACTTCTTTTCATTAGAACAATTTCTTCTTGTATCTTTTAATAATTTAGAGAGCTGAATATATGGCAGTATGACCTTTTCTTCAGTGAAATATGGCTGACTGCCTAGAAGATAATTGTGCTTAACAACTTTTTTGGTAGAATTTGTTTTTTATATAAGTATTTTAGTATCATTACAGAAATTTTTTAAAAATAGAGGAAAATCTTTTCCTATTATGAATAACACTGTGACTATGATGGTTGTACAAACAGCTTTTTCTATTTTTTGTTATTAGGATCAGTACCTTTAGGTAAAATTACTAGTGAAAATCTCTTACATAATAATTAGTTAAATTTTTGGACCATAATACCAAATTATTTTCTGATAGGAATAATCTCTAGTGCCACAACAGTATTTCAAAATACTGGCTTTAATACATCTATGCTGATAAGAATGCAAGTTTAATTTAATTAGAGAAAATGATGCCTCATTTTTATTTGACTTTTTGTTTTAAATAGTCCATTTCCCCCCATTTACTAGTAAGGTTAAATTTTTGGAATACGTTCTTATCTTTCATTTATTATAAATTATATTCATTAATATTTTTACCATGCTATTTGATCTTAATTTTTTTAAATATTAAGATTTGAGTTTTTTTTTTTTTTAATAATAAAAGACATTAACCTAAACTTTTGCCATATTGTCTGCACATCTTTTAGTTATTTCAAGGCCTGTTTTCTTGGCCCTTTTATTCACTTGTCAGGTTGATTGTGATAGCAGATAAAGTGCTAAGGGAACTCTGCAAACCTCTTGACTATTGTCCTCTTCCTGCTTCTATGTTCTGTTTCACTTTCATCAGATTGAGTTTAGTTGATACGTTATTTGATCATACAGTTATAGTCTTAAGGAATTTTCAGTAGTCTTAAGGAATTTTCAGTATTTTTGAGTCATCTTTGCACTTCTTCACATTTTATGGCAATATTAAAATATAAATTAATTTAATGTTTCTTTAACCTGATATGTTGAAAATATTATTTAAGTGTAACCATTGTAAAAGAGATATTTTATATATTTTTTAATATTAAGTTTTCAAAATCTAGTGTGTAGAAATAATTCATAAGTTTAAAATTGCATGATGTTCAGAGTAGCTTAATGAAATCTCACACTATCCCATTCTGTAATGCCAGGGATATGAGTCATCCTGTTGTTCATTGTATCTATGCTGTATGTACTACCTGACCATTAGTTACGTAGTAGAACCACTAAATAGAATAAGTGTCCTGCATTTTATGGTGAAATAAATCATGAGATATTAATATGAAAGTAGTAGCTCTTATAGTTACATTTTAGTTACTAACTATTTTAAGTACCTGTTGAACAGTCAATCAAATTATGTTTTTTAAAAATTTTTATGACAGGCTGAAAATGAACTAAGTCTGGCAAGAAAAATGCTGCAGTGGAAACCATGGGAGCCATTAATAGAAGAACCTCCTGCCAACCAGTGGAAATGGCCAATATAATCATTACATGTATTCTGTGGGCTGATGGGAAACTGATTTAATTAAGTGTTCTGTTATTTTTAAAATGTTTCCATGTGTTGACATAATCAAGAAAACTGACATAGGACACATTGAAGAGACTAGTGTTTATGGTAATAGGGTCGTATGAATCAGTTTTTGATAAGCAGAGTATTTGTGCAGATTATTTCAAAGATGGAATTTCTTTAAACAGAAAGTTTGAGGGAAGATTTGAAAGTTAATTAGAAAAATTCCTATAGATCTTTATTTCAGAGGTCAAAATCAAAAGTTTCAGTATCTTTAGTATGTTACTTAATTTCATTTCATTATCCTGATAAAAAGAAAAAGCACTTTATTATTACTGTCTAAACAAATTTACTGGTCACCATTTGAGATGAAGTAGTAAGCATGAAAATGTTTAGTTTTGAGAATAATGGCAAAAATAGTTCGTGATAAAATTTTAAATTGTTGACCTCCTTGGCTGTGATCTTATGTATAAAGGAAAACTTAAATATATGATTCTGTAATGACTATCAAATCCATTATAAATGTCATTTTATTTTAGGCTGCGTTTGGATTATTTACTCTATTTTCATTATTTCCATTTTATCTTCATTTTGTCACATTTTGTTGTTACTTTATTAGCCTTGAAAACCATCTGATTAGAACTCATTGTACAATTGAAGAATTGATTTTTGGTACTTGAAAAATTTCTTATTTTTACATAGGTTGTTGGATAAGCTTTTCCTTTTGTTTCATTTAAGGAAGTTATCTGGCCCTTAGCCTTTAGTTTTATTGATCAACCCAACTACACCAGGATGGATGTAGAATTTCTTTTAAAAATGGTAGTAGGAGTTCCTGAAGTTTACCTGGCACACATGAGTATATTCAAAATATCTTAGTCATACGGGTATAATTTCAAAGTGGAATCACTAAGTAGTTTTCACTGTTTGTAGTATGCATGCCAGGTAGGTATCAAACAGAAGACAAATGCTGTTCAAGGAAAGAAGTTGGCAAGCTCAAGTTTGACAAAAATCAAATTACTTTGCATCTGTCTTCGCTTTTTCTTCCTAGCTCCCCATTATTTCCAAATACCCAGTTAAATTTATTTTTTTTCTTCATAGATAAATCATAAATACTTCCCTCTGTGTGTGTGGGCATTTATGTGTGTGCTCTCTCTTCCGGCTAAACTGAATTATTCAAAATGAGGAAAAAAAATTGTATTTTTTCTTTAGGAAAAAGAAAAAATATATTTCTCCCTTATAAAGCTATAACCTAATACTAAATTAATATTAAGTAGGTAAGTTGGGTTACTTCTTAGCCATCAGATTACAAGGGAGCTTCTTGTGGAGGGCAAGCAGAAGTATTAAGGGAGAGTCAAGCCCAGGGTTCTCATTCCTGTGGTTCTAGCACCATTGTGAGTTCAGTGGCTAAGGTGAGGAAGGTTGTTAGTCCCTCAGATTATTTAACTTCCTTTTTCAGTTCTACATTTACTTAACTATGTAGTATATTTGCTAAGGTCAAAATATGTAACCCTAAAGCATGTGTGCATGGATGCTTTCAAGCTAATTTTCTAACCAAATTTTTTAGGATACTTTGGGGACATTAAAAAAATTGTTTTGCTGTGTCTTTACTTTCAGTCCCATTTCTCCCATGATTTTTGAGTATCTTTTATATTTCACCAGCAGTGCTTCTGTAGCTTTGTTATTTAAAGGAGACTTTATTCGTGTTTGCAATAGAATTGCCAGTTTTAGAATAACGTACTTGTAGAATAATAGCTAGTATGTAAACCTAATAGTTAATGATTTCTGAGACAAATATGAATGTCAGGTACTGTGCTAAGTACTTTCATTCATTAAATCTACACCACAACTTGGTAAGAGGAAGATACTGTGAACTATCTCTGTTCTCATAAGGAAATGGAATCCATCATGAATAGTGCTGCCCTATTCTGTGTAATGTGGGGTGCTGGAGGAACTGAGACAAAGAAATGATTTAATAATATATTCAAGGTCATATAGACATGGAGTTAAATTTTGAACCTAGACAGTCTGGTTCTAGAATTCATGCTCCTAACTTTATATTATGTTGTTCTTTACTAATATGCTTGGGATGCTGTCATTTCTGCCTATACCATATCAGCTGAATCCAACAAACCTAGATCTTGCTCCCTTGAATTTTTCTGTCAAAGTAATTGTAAAGAATAATATGAACAGAAGTAGTAAACTGGATTTCTCTTTGTTCAATGATCTTTGGATTTGCACAAAATGTTAAAAGGACTGATATCAAAAAGGCAGTGCGATTTGGTCCATCACTCTTTTGCATTTACTGGCATTACAACTGCGTGCACAACTTTACACCTGATTGTTCTTATTCCTTCAAATCTTTTACCATTTGCTTCCTATAAACTTCCATATTAAGTATTCTGACCATTTTGCAATTGATTCTTCTATTCACAGATCTTCAGTGTTGCTGAGTGGTTTCTAGACTAATTTGAATAATTTTCAGAATGGTTTATTTTGGTTTGCAGTAGGCTCCTGATAGATTTCATTCAGGTTAATCACCTTACTCTGACTGCTTCAGAAGAAAGCAATCAATTTGAGCTTTGCAAACAAGAAAATGATATCAAAATTGATACCTTTCACACCCATACTTCAGAATATTTTAATTTCTGGACATTTTTTCAGATGAAATGACTTTTATTTGGGATAATCAACTTGGAATGATTTTGAAGTGAAAGAAGGTATTAATAATTTCATAAGGATGATAGGTATCCTGTACAAACAGGACGTAGGGCCCCCTACTGAAATAAGGCTCAGATCTCAGGGTTGCCATTCTTCCTATAACAGCAGGAGCTGGACAGCTAAACAAACTGTCATTTGTAGCGAATGTGATGCTGTCAGGTTTCCATGGGTCCTTTTACAATATTCTCTCACCCTGCCTTTCCCTCAAATTGGTGGATGAAAGAAAAAATGCTAATCTTATGAGCTTTTTCCTTTTCTCGTCCTAATATTCAGTGAGAAATATAAGGCTAGGTATTTTTTTTAAAAAAGATAATACCTATGACTGTTTACAAAGGAAGAAAAATAATGTCTGTAGGAATAATCTCACATATAAGCTAATATCATTCCCCCCCCACCTCCCCAGCCTCCATGGTTATGTAAACAGAAGTTAATCCCCCTGTACAAGTGTATTCTGGGGTTTAGGGTTAAGTACCAAGTTGTTGAGCATATAATAAGTATATTTTTGTATTTACTGAATGCTATTTTTTCCATTAAAACCTGATTTTCAGTGAGATTCTAGATTTTAGATTCAATGTGATAAAGGATTTGAGTTATTGATGGGGACTGGAGAAATTTATTTGAAAATTTATTTAGAAGTAATAAGCTAAAACTCTAGGTAGTTAATAAAAGTAGTGAGAAAATAAGTGACTTTGCATAGGCTTTCCTAAATGCCAGAATTTTAATGTTTCTTTTTCATACTACTTTTCTAAGAAGAGTTGATAAAGAGTGCTCATATAAAGGAGCCAGGCTGATCATGGTGCCATCAACACAAACTTCCATGAACATAGTGGTAGGGTATGGGAACACAGGAGCAAATCATACAAAGAAACCAAAAAACAAATTCAATCAACGTTTTTGGGTTTTTTTTGGAATGTTCCATAGAGTTTGCCATGCATTGCTTAAAACTATCAAAGTGATCTTATAGTAGCTATTTTTTTTTGTTCTGTGTTTATATGTAAGTTACTATAGATTAGCTTCTATAAGTGACTGAAAACATTACAAAGATTCTTTTTGTGTATTTCTCATGATCTTCAAAACAAAAATTATTAGCTGAATCCTTTAACTTTCCTAAAGATAAGTATTATTTTATAATCATTGTATTTTAATCTTTTCCTCTAACTGTAGGGTGTATTCCTTTTCTCAAGGGCAAAACAGGCTCATGATTACTTATCTAAATTTTACAAATCTCTTAAAGTGCAGTTTTTCATAACTCATTTGAAAACAAAACAACTGATGGAAGGCTATTTGTGGTCTTTATTCCATCTTAATATGAGTATATTTTTGCCATATAAGTATTAATGTATTTGATTCTCGACTGTTTCCCAGACTCACTGAATGCGTTATGTAATATAAAATATATGCCCATATTACCTTTCAGAAATCAGAAATATTCTATAAATATAAAAAATCTGACTCACCCAGAAAGTTTTCAAAAAAGTTACTCTCCATCTGTATTTCCTGTCTCTTAACAATTTCACAAACAAGATACAAATATAATCTATATAGATAATTCCCAAAACATAATTTTCAGATCCTTAATTTTCTCAATTATTATTCTAATATTTGTTTATGTCAACTTGGCATAGCAGTGGAAGATGCTTCGAAGTAATTTATTTCATAAAGCCACTAGATGGCATCTTTGTAAAAATATAAGCACATCAAAAGAAGGACTTATTTATATAAATGTTGAGATAAATGAAAGTAGATGTTTCATAAGAAATAAAAGTCTTTTTGAACAATAAATCCTGAGAAAATGCATAGATTTATGGTTAAAAACAAAATGGAAAATGATACTGAAAATTACTCTTCTACTTTTGAAATTGAATTTTTTTCCTAATGATCATTTTCATTCATTTTACATTCATATGTAATGAAGCAACTGTGTGTGTGTGTGTGTGTGTGTGTGTGTGTGTGTGATTTTGACATGCTAACAATCTCTTCAGGCTGCACAAACTACCTAGAAATTCTACAGATTAGGTAAGATATTGTAAAATTGAGTTGTGTAAAGTCAATTCCATGCACACTGTAAACAAATATGAACATATACTGGGTAACAGGTCACATTTAACACTGTGAGACTAATACTTAGAGTTCTCTACTGTCTGTTTTTTCTTCCCTCCAATTCCTGTGATATCCCTAATGCTAGTGTTTTCAAACTGCCTGTAACATGATCATGAGTGACAAATTTTAAAGAAAAGACAAAAAAGTGTTAAAACCAATGTAATTCTTATTGCTAGTAAAATTTTAAGATGCATTATAATTTTGGAGCTGGGAGTGGGTTTTTGGAAAAACTTGTCTGTGTACCTCCACACCTAGTCTACCTTTATCCTTTGCTGGAATATATGGAAGTGATTCAAATGGACTTGCATTTACTTAAAATCATTCCTACAGCAAAACCAATTTATTTAAGAATACAGTACTTCATATTCTAATAAGAAATATGCATTTTGAAACAGCATAGCTGGAATGTATCCCATTTCAAAAATGGTATTGGACATTAGGAAGTCATTGAAGAGATGAGTGCAATTTTAGCAAAATGGCATAAAGAAATGACACCATTATGAATGAGGGAGTGGACCTGTACTATGTAAACAAAAATTTTAGTTTATTTTACATCCGTTTTAAATATGGAAGGGTGTTGAATAGTGGTTTAAAATCTGGGCTCAAGTCAGACTGCTTGGGTTTAATCCTGGTTTCTCTTTAAACCTCTTTGTGCCTTAGTTTTCTCAATAAAATGGAGCTCATACTAGATCCTCAATAAAATCTTTGCAAGCATTAAGTTAAAAATATAAGTAAGGTGCTTAGTAATAATACGTTTTACGTGCTATTATGAGATAGTAGCATGAAATTTGTTGATATAGTAGGCACTTGCTGTTGTACACACCAAGTTCTCCTTTGTCAATTGCTTAACCTCTCCACTTGATATTTCTATTTTCTTGGATTCTGATTTTTTAAAAACCTGTAAGCTTAAATTGTGATCAGCATTTGTTTCAGAGAAACATTCATTTCCTTTCAAAAATGTAAATGTTCTTGGGGAATGGTTACTCCCTGACCTAGGTAACCACTGGGCACACCCCTACTCTGGGCCTGGTGCACTCAAGGAACTCCTCAGTGCTGGAGGGCGGGGCCCAGCAGGAGGGAGGGACGCTAAGGCCGTTGCTAGGATATGGCCTGCAACAGAGTCTTTTCAAGACTTGTGCTGCTTGGAAGAGCCTCCAAAACCGCTTGGTCCCGGATAGCTGTATTTATTAGCCAGGTAGGACAGGTGTGGCTGCCCTTTCCTTGGGATCCCCCGTGCTCTGCGGCTACCTGCCCAGTCCGGATGTTCCACTTCAAAAGCCCTGAGAAGCGTCCTTTCTAGCTTCGCCTCTCTGATTTGGGATTTGCAGCAGCGTCAAGCTAGGAGGTGTACATCCCCTCACACCCAAAGTGCTTATCGCGGAAATAGTACAGAAGCAAAACGTAAGTGTAGCCCATGTCTGGCGTTAGAAAACATTTCGCCTTCCCTCATTCCTTAGTAAGCCGAGGGCTTTCAGACTTTGCTCACCAGTCACTCTGTTCCTCTACTTCGGACTTCGCCTCTTAACAAACAAAAATTCACCAGGCCAATCTGGTAGAAAGCAGGACTGGATCTCTGTCCTAATACTTACACCAACAAGCTTTAAATGGTAAATGAAATCGTGCATTGCAAGTGACAAGGGAGCTTTATTTGGTATGCATTCATAATAGAAACTGCTTTTTATTTCAGTAAAATCAAAACGTTTAGATAATACATGAATGATTAAAAGTTCAAAGAGTGAAAAAAATGAGCCATGATCATTCTGCCTTTTACCTGTAGTTACACCTGTACATTGTACATACTGTTCTGCACTTTGTTTTTACATTCAATACTATATATTTTGGAATCAGTTTCCATCATTGATGGATTCACCTCATTTTATGTGTGTACTTACATTTCATTGTGAGAAGGTTTTCTAAGCATATGGTGAAATTTGAAACTCTTATAAGCAAAAATATGGATACATTTCACTACCTAACAATTTAAAACTTGGATATAGCAAAAGACAACATAAACAACACATGTAAGGGAAATATAACCACACACTTAACAAAAGAGTATTTAATTAAAACTAATAAAAAATATAAGAACACAAGGAAGCAGTCAAGGGGCTGTTCATGAGTCTGTAGTATGGTGCTGCCTTTTTGGAAAGCAATTTGATGGGATTTAACAGAATTAAATCTGCATATTCTTTGATTTGCTTATTCTAGTTCTAGGAACATATACTTACACTTGTATACCAAGATAAAGGTACAAGGTGTTTGGGCAACAGCTAAATGTAAAGTGGACTTGGTCCTGTGATGAAGTTGTTGAAAAGAATGAGGTAGAAGAGTATGTTTTACATAGAAATAAGTGTTAAGAATGGGTTATGTAAATATTAAATAAAAGTAAGTTGTAAAAGAATCAGTTTTAAATATATAATAATAATTTACATATATAAAGATATGTTTATATGATCATAAACAAATTTAAATATATAATTGTACCTTCATAGACAGTTTCTGAAAAGATAAACTCTAAACATTGCCTAACATTGAGAAATAAAATTAAGGTATCTGGCAAATAAGAAGATACACTTTCTATTTTATTCCTTTCTATTCTATTAAGTTTACTATTTTTTGTATGCACATATTGCTCTCTTAAAAATAATAGCACAGCAACAAAATTAACATCAGTAGTGGAAAGATATTAATTAAAAATGTTTTCAAACTATATGATGCTACCTCTTTAGGTCGAAATTTCACAACATTTTACATTGTGAACTGCAATGTCTGTGCTTTGTCATTTATATTTCATATTTGCTACAGTGAGTTTATATATATATATGTATATATATATATTTATATATAAAAATGGAGCATGTTAATACACATATAGGGAGTATTAAGATCCATTATAATTAGCTACTTATCCTAAGTAGGTTAAGTAAAAAAAAAATGCTGTTGAATTCTACTCAGTTTAAATCATAATCATGTTTTATGTTTTCAATTAAAAAAATGAAAGGCAGTTTCTGGTTATAACATCTTTATTTTTCTTCTGGATCTGACCACTACTAACATACCTTGGGGCATTGTTGAGTCTCAGATTAGAGGGAGATAACAGTTCCAAGGTTTTTTCTTGGTTACAAGTACCCCTTTCCTCTTCTTTTTTGGTTTCCACTGATTCCTGCATTGAAATGACATACAATGTAGTGGTGTAGAAGCATGGATTCATATTGTCTGGATTTGAATCACAAATCTACTGCTTTCTTGCTCAGTCATCTTGAATATATTGCTTAACCATTTTGTTCTGATTTCTTATAACATAAGCACCATAACATCAACCTATCTATGAGGATTAAGTAATTAGTATAACTATTGGCTAGTTATTATGTTGTATTTTGAAAGTGTTTTTTCCTACTGAATGAAATGAATAATTTTTAATACCTCTGAGGCATGACTAATATATAATTATCATTAGCTTTTTGGAAGTATTAGAAATAGTTTATTAGTGGTTAGCTAACATTTATAAAGTTGTTATTGTATGCCAGGAACTATTTGCTAACTATTTATGTACATTATTTTATTTAATCCTTAAAAGCATTTTTTATATTGAATCTATTGATACCCCATTTTGCAAGTGAGGAAAATGAAACTTAGGTTAAGAAACCTCTTTATCATAGTCATATAGTATTAAGAACAGTGAAAGGCTTGGATTTTGGCCCACCTGCAAACTAATAAGTTTGCCTATCACTGTTTCTTGGGTGCTGGTCAGAGAAAAAGAACTCTTTGCAAAAGAGGTAGCCAGTGCTTCAAGTCTGTACCAATATCCCATGGCCTCCAAGTCCTATAGGGGTGACACAGGTGAATATGTTGGTCTGTTTTCTGTTACTATAATGAAATACTCACTATTGAGTAACTTATAAAGAAAAGATGCTTACTTACCCACAGTTTTAAAGACTGAAAGTCAACAGCATGATGCCAGTCTAGTAAGGTGTTGAAGAATGGCATCTTTATGTGGGAGTACTTGTGGGAGGGAACAGTTGCACTGCTGCCCAGAAGCCAGTGTTGATAGGGCTCTCTAGAGAACTAGCTCAGGATCCTACAGAACTACCTTAATCACTTCCAAGGGTGGCCCCAGTGATCTCCCAATAGGCGCTACCATTAAGGTCACCACCTTTCACCATTGCCATACTGAGGACCAAACTCCCAACACATGAACCCTTCTGGAACACACTCAAATGGTATCCAGACCAAAGCAGTAAGCCCACATGGGTGCCTGCATTTGGTCACAATGTACAGAAATGGTGAATTCAATTATTATCTACTATAATCAGTAGGTTTGTAAAAGGGTTTATAGTTTCTAATGGTGGACAAAGAACTGAGGTGAGGTGTAGAATGATATGATGAGGACATAGGAGGTGAGGATATAGAGTTATTATATCTTAGGAAGTATAGAAGAGAAATGTAAAGAAGAAGGTTAGTAGCAGGAGAATAGAGAGGAAGTGATTTTGGGTAGACAAGTGAGAAGACAGTAGAGTACATAAAACAAACACATATATTAAGAAAAATTAAAAAAATGTTAAAATAGTAAAAGTTGGAGGAAAAATAAAGATTATATAACACAATAATCTTCAATCTCACCAAGTTTTCTGAGGAATGTCCACACTGCCTTGCAAAGTGGTTGCAACAATTTTCAGTCCCCCACATCCTCTCCAAACAATTATTATTGCTTATATTTTTGATTAATGCCATTCTTACTGGGGTGAGATGAAATCTTAGATTTATTTGTGTTTCTCTAATTACTAAAGATGTTGAACACTTTTTTATATATTTGTTGATCTCTTGTTTATTTTCTGAGAAGTGTCTGTTCAGTTCCTTAGCCCATTTATTCATTGGGTTGTTTGTTTTTGTGGTATTAAATCTTTTGAGTTCTTTATATATCCTGGAGATTAGTGCTCTCTCTGATGTGCATGTGGTAAAAATTTGCTCCCATACTGTAGACTCTCTCTTTATGTCAATGATTATTTCTTTTGCTGAGAAGAAGCCTTTTAGTTTAACTCCATCCCATTTATTGATTCTTGATTTTATTTCTTGCATTTTAGGATTCTTATTAAGGAAATCAGGGCCTAATCTGACATGATGAAGATTTAGGCCAACTATTTTCTTCAATTAGGTGCAGCATCTCTGATCTAATTCCTAGGTCCTTGATCCACTTTGAGTTGAGTTTTTTGCAGGGTGAGAGATAAGGGCTTAGTTTCATTTTGCTACTTATGGATTTACAGTTTTCCCAGAACCATTTGTTGAAGAGGCTGTCCTTTCTTCAATGTATGTTTTTGGCCCCTTTGTCTAGTATGAGATAAATGTATTTATGTGGGTTGGTCTCTGTGCCCTCTATTCTGTACCATTGGTCTACATGTCTATTTTGGTGCCAATATCATGTTGTTTTTGTTACTGTTGCTCTGTAGTATAGTTTAAAGTCTGGTATTGTGATGCCTCCTGCTTCACTTTTTTTTTTTTGCTAAGGATTGCTTTGGCTATTCTGGGTCTCTTATTTTCCCAAGGAATTTCCTGATTGCTTTTCTAGTTCTATGAAGAATGTCATTGGAATTTTAATAGGAATTGCATTAAATTTGTATCACAGTTTTGATATTATGGCCATTTGGGCAATATTAACTCTGCCTATTCAAGAGAATGGGAGATCTTTCCATCTTTTAAGGTCTTCTTCAATTTCCTTCTTTAGTGTTCTGTAGTTTTCATTGTAGATGTCTTTCACCTCTTTTTTTAGTTTGATCTCCAAGTATTTTGTATTTTTTGAGGTTGCTTATCATATTTTAAAATCATGAATATGTTGATTTTTGGCATAAGTATAGATAGTTTTTTTTCTTTTTGTTTGATTAATATAGTGAACTAATGAACAATTCAGATTTTGTAATGCTCATCTTTGCATCCTATATTTACTTACTCATATATCAGAGTCAAGATTTTTTTTGAGCAACTACTAGTTGTTAGGCCTGTTTCTGGATGTGAGGAACAGCATTGTTAAGGCAGAAAATATTCTTTCTCTCATGAAAGCAATATTCTACTGGGGATGACAGACAGTAAGCAAGTAAGTGAATGAATAAACCATGATTTTCAACATTGATTAGATTTATGAATAAAATAAAACAGGGAGTGAGTGTGGTGTGCTTAGCTAGCTTCCCTGGAGAAATTGCATTTGAGCTGAGACATGACAAATTAGAAGGAGTCAGTTGCACAGATCTGTAGTAACACATTTTTGTTGAAAATATATAATGCAAAAGTCCCAGGGTAGAAATTGACCTTACACATAATAAGGCAGAAGAGTGGTTACAAGATGAGGTCAAGAGGTGAGCAGGAGCTAGTTCATTACATTCTTTTGCATTTCTTCTTGGAAGGCACTGACATCTTTGCTCTGAACTGGCTTTCCAAAGCTATTTCTATAATGAATAGCTTTGAAAGAGAGAAAGTGCAGATCATTCTTTTTCCTGTATTCTAGTATAATAACCACAGTATCCTCCCCTGGGACAAAGGTTTGGCAGATCTGTCTGTCTATCTATCTATTATTTATTTATTTATTTATTTAGCAGTGCTGGAGATTGAACCCATATGCTAAGCAAACACAAAATACTTCACTACTTCTTTCCCTATTTGGATGCTTTTGTTTTGTTTGATTTCTTGGCTAACTGCTCTAAAACTAGTACCATGTTGACAGAGGTAGCAGGAATGGGTATCCTTATAGTGTTCCTGATCTCAGAGGGAAAGGTTTCAGGTCTTCACCATGAGTTATGTTAGCTGTGGGCTTTATACATGTGGCCTTTATTTTGTTGAAATACATTCATTCTATGCCTAATTTATTGAGAATTTTTATCATAAAAAGATGTTAAATTCTGTCAAATGTCTCTTAGGCATTTGTTGAGATGATCCTATGGTTTCTGTCCTTCATTCTGTTATATGTTAATAAATGCATGTTATATTTAATGATTTGTTGAACCATCCTTGCCTTCCAGAAATAAATCCCTCTTGATCTTGGTGAATGTTCCTTTTAATATGCTGTTAAAATTCAGTTTGCTGGTACAGACTGAGTATTCCTTTCTCAAAATTCCTGAGACTGAAAGTGTTTGAAATTACAGAGTTCTTCTAGATAGGTGGGTATTTGCATGGGCTTTATCAATAAGTAGCCTTTACCTTAATCTCCAAATCTGAAATTCTCCTAAATCAGAGAAAAAATGTTTTGAGTTTTAGGTTTAGTCATATTTCAGATTTCAATTTTGGATTATTGGTTTAAGTATGCTCAATATGTAGTTTGTTGAGGATTTTTGTATCTATGTTCATAGGGATTTTTTTTTTCATACTGAGGATTGAACCCAGGGCCACTCAACCACGGAGCCACACCCCGAGCCCTTTTTTGTGTTTTATTTAGAGGCAGGGCCTCACTGAGTTTCTTAGAACCTCGCTAAATTGCTGAGGCTGGATTTGAACTCGAGATCCACAAACTGCCTCAAACTGCGGAGCCGCTGGGATTACAGGTGTGTGCCACTGTGCCCGGCTCCCGTGATCTTTTCTTGTAATGGCCTTGTCTGGCTTTGCTGTCAGTATAATGTTGGCCCATAAATGAGTTTTGCTGAAAGAGTTTGAGAAAGATTAATATTAGTTCTTTAAATGTTTGGTGGAAGAATTCTCCTTTTCTTTGTTGAGAGATGTTTTGATTACTGATTCACTCTCCTTAATCATTATTTCTTCATAATTAAGTCTTGTTAGGTTGTATGTTTCTAGCAGTTTACCCATTGGTTCTAGGTTATTCAATTTGTTAATGTATAATTGTTCATGATAGTCTCTTAATCATCCTTGTATATTTCCTTGGTATACAAATATGAGGATTGTTCAGTGGCTGAAAACCTAAGGAAATTTCTTGAATTTTTTCTTGATATTCCTTTCATTTTTTTCCCCTCTCATTCCACTGCCTCCTACCCCTTTGTTGTTTTGAAATTTCAGAAGTTTATTTTTGTTATTTTATTTATTATATTTTAGATTTAGCTATACATATATAACTTAACCAGTATACATGGCTAAATCTCAAGTACACAGTGAAAGTTTTTAAACAGTAGAGGGATTGAGAACAGTCTGATTTTCCCCTTACAGTTGCATATTATTATCTACTGTTCTAATTCCCTACTATTATTTTATGTTGACAGTATTTGTATTTGTCTACATATTTATGGTTTTATGTCTTCACCTTTCCTTCTTGCACTTGGAAAACAATTTCCCTTGGAAATTTTTTTCTCTTTCCATGTATATGCTTGAAAAAATTTCTCTAGAGCCAGTAAGTTCCTAGTGGTAACTTATTTGTAAATGTTTCCATTTTCTTTCTTGAAAAATAATTATTCCGCGTGCATAATTCTATGTTGATTATTATGTTTTTAAAATTATTACACTTTTTGCCTTTGCTTTTGTTTTTCCAATGAGAAGTTTGCAGTCATTTTACTTTTCTTAGTATTAATATCAGCAAATTAAAATGATTTCAAGTGATGTGTGTGTGTGTGTGTGTGTGTGTATACATTTTTTTTTAAACAACTGTTTGTTTTCAGGACCTTATATTCATCTTTGGTATTCTTTTATTTCTTAAAATGTACATGGTACATTAGGTATAGATTTATGTTGTACTAAATGGATCTGTGGGTTCATACTTTCTATCACTTGTGAAAAATTCCCAGTCATTTTCTTTTAAAACATTTCTTTTCCATTATTCTGTTTTCTCATTCTAATGAGAAAACTAATTTGACATGTGCCAGAACAGGGGCTGACAAACTTTTTCTGAAAAGGGTTCAACAGGGCATTTTTAGGCTTCATGGGGCATATTAAGTCTCTGTTGCATACTTTTTTATTTTTATTTTTATTTTACTTTATGTAGTGCTGAGGATCGAACCCAGTGCCTCAAGTATGCTAGGCAAGCGCTGTACCTCTGAGCCATAACCCTAGTCCTGTTGCATATTCTTTATTGTTTGGTTGTTTTGTTATAACAATACAAAACTACTCTCAGATCTCTGAAAAATGTATGCTTAGCAAAAACATATGTGCTTGACTTTCTTTTTCTCTTCTCCATGCTCTTAATCATAGTTTCAGTCAGCTTTTTCACTGCTGTGACTAAATGATCTGGCCAGAACAATTGTAGAGGAGGAAGAGTTTATGTGAGGGCTCACAGTTTTAGAGGTTTTAGTCCTTAGAAGGCTGGCTCCATTCCTCAGGGCTTAAGGTGAGGCAGGACACCATGGAGGAAGAATGTGGCAGAGGGAAGCAGCTCACATGGCGATTAGAAAGCAGAGAGAGAGAGAGAGAGGTCTCCACTCTCCAGATACAAAATATATACCCCATAGCCATACCCCAACAAACCACTTTCTTCAGCCATACCTCACTTGCCTCCAGTTACCACTCAGTTCATCCCATCAGGGATTAATTCACTGATTAGGTTAAGGCCATAACCTAATCATTTCTCCTCCAAACCTTCTTGCATTGTCTCACACATGAGGTTTTCAGGGACACCTCATATCCAAACCATAACAATCACTCCTATTTTCATATCCTTATCTCTTTGCAGTATTTGATATAAAATCTTATCTTCCAGTTTGCTAACTCTCTCTTCAACTTTCTCTAATACTTTATAGCTTACTTTTTGAGTTCAATGATTATTTATTTTTCAGATGTTCCAGCTCAAAAAATTTGTCCTCTAGTAGCCAGATATCTCCTATGACTAAGGGTGATTTTTTTTTCCTCCATAAACGTCTGTGCTCGAATGGAAGCCCCAGAGAGATCTTTCCTACTTCCCTAAGGTTCCTAGGTTTAATTTTCCCCCAGCTGTTGCCATAGAAATGCAGCCTCAGGGCCCTTGTGATCTCCTCCACTCCTTGCTGCCAGCCTCTATAGGTAGGCTCCTGCTATATTGGCTCCTTGTCCAACTTCTCCTTTTGGCAGTCAGGTTCTGGAATTCTCTCAACTCATTTGGCCTAAGCTTTTAGATACTGTCACATTGTTTCCTACAACCAGGCTCTTAGTTACTGTAACTCTGGATGGAATCAACTCCAAACTCAGTCTAGATTGGTCAAGATGTTTGTTTCTGCTGTGATTTGTGAGAGCAGAGCTAATGCAGGGTGTATTCTCTGGAATACTCTGGCTCTGGAGCTGCCAGGTTCCTTGAAGCACTGCCGCAGTCTGGCTGGGCACACAATCACGAGCCACCACACAGCTTGTAGATTCAAACAGCAACTCTTTATTCCCGAACTCACACCAGCCGTCTACAAACACATTCTGGGGAAATCCACTTTCTCTGCCCAAATCCACCTCCACTGGGCTTCTATCTCCCAAAATATACTGTCTGAATCCCGTGAGAACTCAAGGGGAACTCAGGCAGCAGGATACGCCCTATTCCTAGCAGGAATAATCTTAAACCTGGAACGCCCTAAACCCGATTATCCTAAACTGGGAACACCCTAATCCCGGATCCGCCATGGTCCTTGAGCAAGGTCACCTAACTGCAATGTCACTGCAAAATGTCCTATTTCCACGAGTCCTTCCACTAAGCAACATGGGGTACGCTGGCAAGGAAATTGTCATACCTACTTGGCTAATGGCTCCCAGCAAAGCACCTAATCATTTGTAAGCCAGAAGCATAAATCTCATATCAGTTTTATATTCAGAAAAAGAAGTAGTGCAAAAAGTCCTTTTTTTCCCCCCTCTGGGAACTCTTTATTGGAAAAAGAAGAGATGGCAAGATATTTTAGACTATATTTTCGACATACTTGTTACAGAATATTACTTAAAATTGTTTTGAGATTATTTTTGTGATAATTTAAAAAAAATTTTTCTGCGGTGTTTTTGAAGTAAAAATTCACCAAGGTTTTTAGCCCAATGACAGGCATTAAGAAAATGATCAACTTTTTTTAAAAAATGAGCACCATTTTATTTTTAAGATTTTTTTTTTAGTTGTAGATGGCTTCATGGGTCATATTTTATTTTATTTATTTTTTAATTTTTTTTTGTGGTGCCAGGGATGAAACCCAGTGCCTCACACAGGCTAGGTAAGCGCTCTACCACTGAGCTACATCCCCAGCCCTATTTTGTATTTTATTATTTTTTTTAATTTTTAATTTTTATTTTTTTCATTTTTGTATTTTATTTAGAGACAGGGCCTCCCTGGGTTGTTTAGGGCCTCACTTTTGCTAAGGCTGTTTTGAATTCCTGATCCTCCTGTGTCAGCCTAGCGTGCCCAACCGCACCCAGCCGTGAACACCATGTTAGTATGAACATCACTCTATGTTAGCAATGAGTTTGATATTTGGTGGAGAAACTCCTACATATGTAGTAAATGTGTTAATTTTTCTTGATATAGGAAAATGTCTGATCAAGAGGAAGAGTTTAATATTGAAAATACGGTTGAGCCAGAAGAACATGAGGAGGTTATTGACACTGTCAATATTCCAGCACCCTCAGAAGAACGTTCAGAGTTAGACATAAGTGAAGAGCATGAATCTGAACTAGAACTCAGTGAGCAAAGTGACATCAGCATTTTAAGCCTTGAATTGAACGAGGAAAGAAGACGCCTGGAAGAGGCTGTGTCTCCCAGAAAATCCTTGCCTGTTTCAGGGTATTCACCGCAGCCCAATGTGGAGTTCACCCAACAGGATTCAAATGAGGAGGCTCTGGCATTTCTGAATAAAATAAAGGCTATGAAGGAGTCTTTGCAAACATCAGTGAGAGAATCTTCAGCAACAGGTATTTCCAAAAGAAGATAGCATATTTCATTTCTGCATTTCAACGAAGAGTTGCTTTTCCTTGTTAATTTTTTGTTTATTTTTGTTTGAATACCTATTTTATATTTGTTGCTAGTTTTCCTTTCCCATGTCCACCAAATTTCCATAGTTATATCACTTAAAAAAGGATGAAAGCTTCCCTTTTCTTTTTTCTTGGTACTAGGGATGGAACTCCGGCATGCTTTTCGCTGAGCTACATCCCCACCCCATTTTATTTTTTATTTCCTCCTGCCTCAGCCTCCTGAGTTGTTGGGATTACAGGAATGCACCACAGTACCTGCTATGTGAAAACTTTTTTCTGTACTGCAATATCTACTCTTCTTCCTCAGTAAATGAACATCACTAAATTTTAAATTCACATTTACTTATTTATTCAAATAAATAAGTTTAAAATGTTTAGGGAACTTGAGAAATGGTAGAAAAATTATTAAGTACAATTACAGTTCTTTTGCATGACAACTTGGAATTGCTTTACATAGCTAGAAACCCGATTCCCTAGTTTCATATTCATTGATCATTCCTTGTATTATGCTGCTTTTACATATTTCTATAGTCTGCTTAGAGTTAACCATATATTTAGCCTTGGAAAAATCATTGTCTCTCATTTTAGGTCAATTTTAAAGCCCTAAAGCAGTGTTCATTATTTGAGCTGTGTGTGTGTGTGTGTGTGTGTGTGTGTGTATACTGGGGATTGAACTCAGGGACACTCAACCACGGAGCCACATTACCAGCCCTATTTTGTATTTTATTTAGAGACAGGGTCTTACTTAGTTGCTAAGTGCCTCGCTGTTGCTGAGGCTGCCTTTGAACTTGTGATCCTCCTAACTCAGCCTCCTGAGCCACTGGGATTACAGGCGTGCACCACCATGCCTGGCCTCATTATAATATTATTAATAATAGAGAAGGGGAGAAGTAATAAGGTAGTTACACAGAAAACCATTAACTGACTGCCTTTTCTTTCCTTGTTCATGTGTTTTGAGAGTTTCCACTCATAGGATGGAGAACATGGGTTGTCATTTAATAATGATAATAGCAATAGCAGTTTGGCTGGTAAAATGTAAGTTTTGACTATAGTGGGTTGTTTAACCCTGTGTGGTATGTTCAGAAAACTAATTATGTTATACAATACACAATAGAACTGAGTATCTCTCAATTTCATTATTTAGTGTAAATTTGGATTCCATTTTTGGTGTTTCTATAATTCCCTGATATTGTAACTTAAAAACATGGTGAGTTTTTAAAATTAAAAAGTTGTTTTGACCCTGTACTTATCAAGCTTCCCTCAATATACCACCCATTCCAAAACTTAAGAATCCACTTAATCATTAATTAAAACATTAATCATTAATTAAAATTTTTTAAATTTTAAATTAATTAAAATTTTTAAACACATTAAACACAAAATCATTAAAATTTTAAACACATTAGGAAACTAGAAAAATCTGGTTTATAGCTATGTAAGGCAATTCCATAGCTTTTTGCACCAAGAAACAAAATAGCCTTCTGATAAGTTCTGTTTGGTATCTGAAAGTGTTTCTTTTGTTCATAGAGAACTGTGAGAACAATTTTTAATAAGTTTAAAGAAACTTAATATGACTAATTCCTAGTTAGATTTTTTTCCCATGGGAGTTTTGATAAATGTCTCAGCTTTTTGAAAACTGTCTTGGAAATATATAAGTTTTTTGACCTATAATATGATTACTTATTGCATCCTTTCTATTAAAAATGTTATGGTTTGGATGTGAAATGTCACCCCAAAGCTCATGTGTGAGACAATGCAAGAATGTTCAGAAGAGAGATGATTGGGTTTTGAGAATCTTAACCCAATTAGTGAATTGATCCCCTGATAGGGATTAACTGAGTGGTAACTGAAGTGGTAGGATGTGGCTGGAGGAGATGGGAATTGGGGGCATGGCTTTGGAGTGTATATATTTGTATTTGGAAAGTGGAGTCTCTCTCTCTCTGCTTCCTGATCATTATGTAAGCTGCTTCCCTCTGCCACACTTTTCCTCCATGATGTTACCTCACTTCAAGCCCTGAGGAATGGAGCTTGCCTTCTAAGGACTAAGACCTCTGAAACTGTGAGCCCCTAAATAAACTTTTCTTCCTCCACAATTATTCTAGTTTAGTTTTTTAGTCACAGTGGCAAAATAGCTGACTGAAACAAAAAGTTAAAGTCTATAAAGGTAAAATAATTTATAATATACCTATTCCACATAATTTGTGAATACATGATCATTTATGATAAGTTTTTAATTTTTAACACATAAGCATCTTTTAAAAAACTTTTTAGTTATATATGGGCACAATATCTTTATTTTGTTTATTTTTATATGGTGCTGAGGATCGAACCCAATGCCTCACATAAGAGACGCAAGTGCTCTGTTACTGAGCCACAACCTCAGCCCTCTTTTTTTTTGCACTTGGGATTGAATCCAAGGTTGCTTAACCACTGAGCAACATACCCAACCCTTTTTAATATTTTATTTATTTAGAGACAGGGTCTCATTGAGTTGCTTAAGGCCTTACTAAATTGCTGAGGCTGACATTGAAATTGCAATCCTCCTACCTCAGCCTCCCAAATCACTGGAATTACAGGCATGTGCCACCTTGCCTTACTCAACAGCATCTTGATTTCCTATTTTGTAGGGTGGATTGTGAGCCATACAATGTAAACTTTTGTGAAAAGTAGTTATAATGGGGAGTTCAAATGCATTTCCAGGTTCTGAGACAACCTTTCTATTTCAAGGTCTCATTTTCTTATACTCACTAAACAAAAATGCTTGATTTTTAGAGCTACTTTTTGTACTTAAGTCATAATATAGGTGGTGAACATTGATGAAAAATTTTGAGATTATGGATTAATTTTCAAAGCCTAAGGTTGTAGCTCAGTGTTGGTCATTTCTCTTTAGATATCATTGTGGTGTGGTGGGGAAATATAGAAGAAATAACCTGTGTTTCACACAGTTAAAAGTCAGCCCATAATTCTGTTTGTGGAGTGTAGGTTACGGACCCTTGCTATATTTGATGATGCCTATTTATTTTCTCTTTTTATCTTTAGTAAGAGTTGTACTTATTCCTGTGGGCCAGGAAATTATAATGCCTTTTAAAGTTGACACTATTTTTAAACACCTCAAGGATCACTTTTCACACTTATTACATATCCCACCTTCTGTACTGCAGATAAGTTACAAAGGTAAGTTTGAAGGTTCATGAACTTATTAAGATTTCTCCTGTTTTAGTATGTAAACAGTCAAGACCTTTGATTTTTTTTAAACTAAATATCTACATATTTACTATTTTAGCATTAACTTGTGGTTATGTATTTATTCATTTAATTCCTTTTTATTAAAGACATTTGATTCTAGATATTTTGCAGATAGTGAAGGATAACAGAGAAACATGAAACAAGATTCCTGTTCTCAAATTGCTTGCAGACTAGTAAGGGGGAGAATTGCATGCAAGAGTTTCCATATAATGTGCAAATGCTTTATTGGAAATCTGCACAAAGAGCTATGAGAATAGGAAGGAAGAAATCTGGGAGATTATGGAATGTTTCAATTCATAAAGGTGATGATATTTGTGCTAAGTCCCAAAGAGATGAGAAAAACTGGAGCTTTTAGGAAGTGATAAGACATTTTGAGTGGCTGGAAGTAGATTTTGTATGTGGGATGGGAGGAGTTGAGATTGAAGAAATAAGATGAAGGATAATGTATAGAACAAGAAGACTGAAAATGGTATCTGAATATTGTATATGTTAAGGTCATTCCTGTGATGTCTGGTTTGTTTATATTTTGTGGATGATATTGAGAAGCCCCATTGAAGTTATATTAGTCTTGAATCATGATTGATCATGATTGGACATAGTCTTTGTAACTGTGATAGAGAACCAGACTAACCTAGCGAAAAGTGTATTTTTATACAATGTGTCAGAACAAATTCTAATATTTTAGTTTTAAAAGTCTTGGTATTGACTTATAAAGATGCTACACAATGTTTGCAGAGAAAAAAGAAGTTTCAAAATCAATTTTTAAAAAATCAATTTATAATGTATATACTCCAAAAGTAAGATTTGTGCAAATAGCACATTTAAAGCCCGACTAAGGAAACAAGGCTAAAGTTTAAATAATTATTAGTAATAATAATAATAATGATCATCATGATTAATTTATTTTTTTGAACCCTTACTATGTGTTAGTATGTCTGCAAAGTGTTTTGCCTACATTATCATTTAATCCACACAGCAACCCTTTGATGTAGGTAGTATTATTAACTCTTTCTCTGAGAGAAGGAAACTGAAACTCAGGGAACTTTTTTTTTTATAAAATCACATGACAGATAAGTAGCAGAGTCTGAACTGAAATTGGAGGTATAACTCCAAAGAGGGAAGTAGCAATTGCTGGGCATTAACTCAAAGGTAAAGTTGAAAGTTAGAGAAGAGAACACTTTGTGACTGTAGTAGATGGCCAGAGGTACTTAGGGATCCCTGTCCTCTTCACCTTTCTTCTTTGTAAGTACCAGATATTATCACTGAGTAATAGGTTTATGTTAGCAGCAATTATAGAACAGCTTGATTTGATGCCAGCCATCCTCTAAGATAGATGATTTCTCCCGGACTGGAACTGGACCTCAAATTTCATGGGATTGCACTCTCTAAAGAAATAAATGGAGGAAAAACCAGAGCTCTAGGAACCTGTATCAGTTTTCTAGGTCTGTTGTAACAATTAATCACAAACTTAGTGGCTTAAAGCAGCACATGTATTTCTCTTACATTTCTGGGGGCCAAAAATCTTAAATCAGTTTCATTAGGATAAAATTGACGTTTCAGTTGGCCTTTCTCCCTCTGGAAGCCCTAGGGGAAAATCCACCTCCTTGCCTTTCCAGCTTCTAGAGTTGCATCCCTTGGATTCCTTGGTTCATTGGCTTCCTTGCATATTCGGAGCCACAGAATAGCAGATGCAGCTCTCTCTTTGCTTTGGTCATACTGTCTTGTCTTTTCCTCTGTAGCCAAATCTTTTTTTTTTCTTTTTATACAAGGGCACACATAAGTACATTTAGGGCTCAATAAGATAGTCCAGGATAGTCGCTGCATCTTAAAATCCTTAATCAAATCTGCAAAGTCACTTTTGATATAAAGGTAATATGATGTGGACAAATTTGGGGCTATTATTCAACAAAGCCCATATGACATTCAAGTTAATTTTAAAAATTAAGAATGTAGGATGTGAAATTGAAATTCACAAATCTTTGAGTGTGTTTTCTCAAATATAGCCAAAGTAGTTTTGTGCTGTCTGATATATTTGTGGGTATAGCTTTTGTTATGTTCAAATTCAAAATTGTAATTGAGGAAGACCATACATTTGAAGATTGATAGATTCCATCAATGAAGATTCCATGAGACAAAACAGCAGCCAGTAACATAACATTATTGCATCTTCATGTGCTGTGAAACAGAGAAATGTGATCAGTTAATTTTTTAAATATACCAATGGCAGGGTGGAGTAGAGAGAGGGAAGAAGATAAAGTAGTACAACCACGACAACAAAAATAAAGCAAAGTTCACTTTTTTCAGTACAAAAGTGAGTCTAGTCTCCACCTTGGCATTAATTTATGTGTGTTTCTGACTATGGTAGGAGAGACAGGAAGGGATTATTTAGAATTCAGAGTCTATATTTATAAACACCAGAGGGTGAAATGGGTATTAAAATAATTATGCTTCCCCTGGAATGGATTTGTGTAATATTTACATATAATATATGTGAATTTTCACAGTCAGTGTTTATAGTATGTGGTTCTGCTCATGCTATAGAATGCTTTTATTTTTAAATGTCTATAGAGTTTCATGATTATTATATTTATATATCTGAAGACATGAGAATTGTAGTTTTATTTATAATGCTGAATTTCAGAACAGGAATGCTGCTATAATCCTTCCTATTGTAAAATTTGATTTTTATTTTTTATTAATTATTATTTTAATTATACATATTTATGGGGTACAGTGTGATAATTTAATATGTGTATACAATGAATGTATAATGATCAAATCAGGCAACATTTATTTTTCCTTAAAGATTAAAATTGTTTTGATTAATACGTAAAAATTATACATATTTATGAGATAACAGTGTGATGCTTCAAAATGCACACATTGTGTACTAATCAAATCAGGGTAATGGATGTTTCCATTTCTTTATCATTACTTTGTATTCAAAGGCTTTAAGCTCTTCTCTTTTAGTTTTCATAAAATATATAGTAGGTTATTATGAACTATAGTCACTGTTATGGTATTTTCTGTACTATTATTACAGCAAGAGATGGAAAACATTCATACTATATTTAGTGATTAAGTGATATGTGTTCCTACAAGCACCTGGGATATTTTCCATCACCTTAAAATGAGTACATATGATTAGCCATTTCTAGAGACTGTTGTACATCATGGTGACTACATAGTTAATAACCGTACACTGTATACTTGAAAATTTCTAAGGGAATAAACTTTAAGTGTTCTCACCATACACATAAAAAAATTATGTGAGGTAATACTTATATTAGATTGATTTAGTCATTTCACAATGTATACATATATCAGAAATTCATGTTATACACTATCTATTCATATATAATTTTATTTTATAACTAAAACAACAACAAAAATAGCCATTTTTTGTCATAAAACTTCTTAAAAATTTTCAGGAATAATTTTTAAAAATAATGAGACTTTAATACAACATGGAGTTAAGCCACAGGAAATTATACAACTGGAACTCTTTTCTACAAATCCAGATCAATATCCAATCAAAAGGATAGAGGGATTAAATGATGTCTCTCAAATCCTAACTGTCACTGTACAAATTGGTGAGTTATTTGATGTCTTTCAGATAAACTATGTTAGTTTTCCTTTGTAACTGAACTTCCATTCAGTCTTGGTTTTTATCTCCTTAGGCATTAATCAGTACCAGGTGGTAACTGTTGAGATTATAAAGTCTGATTTTCATAAGCCATTTCTTGGTGGATTTAAGCATAAAATAACAGGAATAGAATATCACAATGCTGGAACCCAAACTGTACCTAAATATATCCGAGGGAAAAAACAAGCATTTTCCAGGGACACCCAGGTAATATTTTTAATTTTCCATTTAGGTTTCTGAAACTATGGAATCAACAATTGTTGTATACTATATGACTTTCTCAAATTCTCCTCATTTATTATGTGGCAATTAAGATAGTAAAAGCAAAATTTACTGGACTGAATAGAAAAATATTCTCTCTGTTGTATGTGTGTATTTTCACAGTCAGTATTTATAGTATGTTTAAGTATGTATACTTACCTAAATGTTTTGTTTTTACTTTAGACAGTTTCTCAGAGAAAAAAGCTCCAACAAACTACAAATACAACATCCACACAAATGTCTAAAATTGGTGTGTATGTATCAAATATAACTGATAAACTGTTAAAACCAGGGGATTATTTTTCAGCAGCAAAATACCATGCTCGAAGATTCAATGCGGTAAGATAATTTCATTGTGAATAAATACTAAAAATTAAATATATAAAGCCAGTTGTTCTGTGTGTGTTTTCCTAAGCCACACCAGCCTGAGTAAGAACCCATATGTGTATGGGTCATGTTTCATGGATAGTCAATGCAGACCTATCTCCAATATCCCTCTGTATAAGCAACCCAGACCCTAAGTGCTCCTAACCCTTCCCTTGTCTTTAGGGACTCTCAGGTACCTTTGGCCATTATTAGCTTCCTCAACACGTCTGTCCCTTGGCCTTAACCCTTCCTTGTCACAGAAGAATCATGTAGGGAGCTTGCCAGACTATTTGAAACTCAATAGAACAAGAGTGCACAAGAAAGTTAGCCACTCTAACTGATATCACTTATACAATTCATCTTTTTTCACCTTTTAACTTTCAACCTATTTGATCTCTTATAGAGAGCATATAGTTGGATCTACCTCCTAGCATTATTTTGAGAGACAGACCTGGAATACAAAAAAGTCAAGTCTGTGGAGTCATCATCCTGAGGGAGACCACTCACTGCAGGGAAATCTTTGAACCTGGTTTATCAGTCCCAGTTACTCCAGCCTGATGAGTTTTTGTTTTTAATCTAAATTAATATTTACCCAACAAGGGAAAAGATAGAGTTGTGAGATTTCAGGGGAAATTGAAATGCAGGTAGAATTTAAGCAAAGTAATCTCTTCATCTTCTGTATACAGGAAGGCTGTACATACAACATCCACACAAATGTCTAAAATTGGTGTGTATGTATCAAATATAACTGATAAACTGTTAAAGCATGTAAGTGGGTCAACATCAAGGTCTGGATTGCAAGGTGAACCAGGATTCTGTTCTCTTGGGAATGAAATTAAAAGAGCTATAGAAGTTATCTATGAAGTTCTCCAAGTTCAGCACCCGTGGTTGAAAATCAAGGCTGCCTTTCCCTGTCAAAGTGATTTAGAGCCTTTTCGACAACACTGGGATGCTTTGTTCTTACTGATCTAATTTCAAGCAATAAAGTTTCTTTGAGTTTATGATTTGAGAGGAGAAAGTCTGTCAGTGAGTAAGAAAATAGTTACTCAAAGAAAGAGGGATTGCTATGACATTTTATAGCTGCAGAGCATCCTTGGGAGAAATATTGTTTCCTGTTAGCTTTGTGGCTGTCTTGATTAGTGTCACTTATTACAGTGATGTGTTTTTTCGTTTCTCGGTCCAAACTAATTTTTACTTTCTTATTGTTCTGGTTTTGGATGGTAATTTACTGTATCCTCAGGAACCTGCACTCCAATTATCTTCCCACTCTTTTACAATCTCACCATGCATAGAGTATTATTGTATGGTGACAAAATGGTTGACTCTTCTCATCACATCTGCATTCTGTGAAGGAACAAGAGGGAAGTCAAGGGAGCATGACCCATGTGCCCTCCTCCTGAAAACTTTACCCAGTGACATGTGCTTTCAATTCATTGGCCTGAGCCATGTCCTGTGATGGCCCTCCCAAAGGAGTAAATGCTAAATGCATTTGTTAATTAGTATATTGTTCCTCCAGAAAGCTGAGATCTTCTTAGTAGGAGGAAATAGAGGACATAGGATATCAGGTAGAGAAGTAGCCCTCTCTGTACTACTTTCCAAATGCCAATAAAATGATATTAAAGGGAAAAAATTCATATATATATATGGCAAAGAATATAAAAGAGAAGAGTAAATATCAGTTGACTTTGTTGAAGTTGTAAAGCAAATGGAGTGTGTAACTTGGCTTACTAGAGCAGTTAAAATCTAAATGCCTGCCAAGAGGGTTGGCATCAAGACCCACATACATTGGCCCCAGAGGGTCTTGGAAGGTGGGTTGGAGATTTTGTGGGAGGTCAAAGTGAGGAGTGGGCCGTGAACTGTTAAAAGGCTATATGAGGAGTCAATTTCCATTTAATAAGTCCTTTTATCCTCATTGATTTCCTTTCCACTTGGGTCATGTTCATTTTATTTTTTTAAAAGGTTTTAGAGTTCAATGCTTAATAGTTCTTGTTTTAAGCAAGATTATATTATGTGTGGCTGATATATTTGTATTCATTTCTGCCATCTCATCTTGTTAATTTACTAATCATTTTTGTTTGTTTATTCTTTTTGTTGGCTTGATCAGCTTTTTCATGTTTTTGTTTTTTCATAATTTAGAGTTGGTAATTTATATGTTAATATGCATTTTCTACTAGTTAATAAAAAATTGTTAAACATGTCTGTTTTATTTTTATGCCAAATGCATGGGTAATCTTGCTGTATTTCCTTTCTATGAACAAGAATCTTAATATGCATTTATTTTCTTCCTTTCTTTTTCCTTCCTCCCCTATTCCTCCTATACAGTGAGGATTTAGAATTATAAGTAAATATAATTTACAATATAATTATAATTCTACATTGTTATTTTAAATATTTGCTTTGATACATATATTTGTTTTTCTGAATAAAATATATTTAGTTTCATAAGTCTTTTTGAAGCCTTTTTTCCCTGCTTTAATTTTCCTGCTTGAATTTATTATTCTTGCTGGAACACATTCTTGAGTAATTCCTTCAGAGACTATGCATAGGGAATGAACCATGTAAGTCCTTACTGAATGAACCTCATATATGGGTTTTAATTTGAGTGGGTATGAAAGGTTAGATTTAAGTTTATTTTCAGAATTATTTTCCTTTGTAACTTTTGAAGCTATATTTGACAGTCAGATATTGATCTGATTCTAATTTCTTTGTTTCCTCTTTCTATGAGCTTTTAGGATTTTCACTTTATCCTTAGTATTTTGTAATGTTATCATGCTGCCTTTGAAACTTGGTAGTGGACCCTTTCTGAGAACTCATGTCTTGCTTTGGGAAATGTTCTTCTATTTTATTTTGAGTAATTTCTGTAATCAAATTTCTTCATTCTGTCTGTAACTTGTATCCGACATGTTTTGGAATGACTGGATTTATCTTTCATGTTTCTGATTTTCTCTTCATTGCTTTCTAACTTTTGTGACCTTTCCTTCTGCATTCTAAAAGATTTTCTCACCTAAGTTTCTGCTTATTAATTCCTTCTCAGTCTCTGCATTCTGCAGATCAGATTATAACAAATCTCTGCCAATATTCTTTCTTCCCTTCTCCCATGTACTGAAGCTTTAACTGGGCACATGGCTGTCCAGAGAAGATGACATTTCTTAGCTCCTTTGTAAATCAGGGGCGGGGGCATGTAACTAAAGTCTAGACAACAGGGTCTGTGGGGCAGTGATATGAGGCACTTCCAGGAGTTGCTCTTAAAGTGTTCTTTGTTCCTTTCCCACTATTTACTGGCTGGAAGATGATGATAAGTGGATCAGCCAAGTGAGACATACAAGTAGGAAGGAAGCAATTTGTTAACTGCTGCGGCAGAGCTTTCCTACCAGCCCTAAACTGCGAGGCCCTAAACTGCTCGCCAGTGACCAGATGGACATACGAGAGGGGAAAATTCCTGTTATTTAAACAAATCTTGTTTTGGTGTCTTTAATAAATTTTAAAAGTTTAATAACCACCCAAACTGACACATATTTTATTGTTTATTTTTTTTTAATTTTCAAAAGTAAAGATTTTTCCACAGTCCTTTTTTGGTTTTTGTTTTTAATCTTGTTTTATACTGATGGAATTTTACACCGAAAACATTAACTACCTTTAGTCTTGTTTTCTGTTTCATTTTACTTTAATAAAGTGGTTCTGAAACTTCAGCTTCCAAGTCGGAGAGTTGTTGTGATCTGCTGGGCAAGGGGCTGGGGGAGGGTGCTGGAAGCTGGTTGCTTGCTGATACTTTTCTAGATAATGCCTATACTGCTGGTCTTCCCACTACTCTTTGAGAATTACTCTTCTACTAATTCTGTTTCAAGCAAGAATAAATTGTTCTTTTGGATGAGGGGCTTTTTATTTTGTTCCCTCTTCTCAAATGCTTGGTTAGTCTGGGGTATCTACTCTCAGAAGATTTGAAATTTTTAACTCATTTTGTTCTATCATCCCAGATGTGTAATACCTATAAAAACTTAAATATAGTATATAATACATAACTAGATAATAATATAATTATAGTACTCATATGTAATAATATTAATTAATATAATAAAATAAATGTTCTAGGTTATGATTTCCAACCTATTTTAATTCACCTTTGTTAATTTCACTTAAATATTCACAGAATTGGAAACTTGGAACTTAATTTGCTAATATGCAATGTGCTAACAGCACTTTCTAATCCCAGTGGTTTTACAGTATAAGGCTTGATTCTGGGACGGAGCTATTTTTCTGGATAGGGCGTTTCTATACATCCTCAGTCTCACCAGCCTTTGGGCACACTAACCACTCTTGCCTAGGGATACATATTTCTGTTGCTGTTTACCTAAATTGTTTAATAGGAGCATGTCCCATTTGCATTTTTCAGGCAGGTACTGGGTTGGCTGCCCTTCTGCTCAGAGAATCCGCCAGTTTGGGGCATGAAGCAGTTCCAGGGCCACTTGTCTGTCTTCTAGCTTGCCTCTCCAGTGCACGACTAGGCTATAGATTCCTTCTTTAGTATGTTCCATCTGTCTCTTTGCTTGAGGGGATTCTTTAAAATTTCTATTCCCTTGGGTGACCCATTCAGTATGATCCATAGACTTTATTGATTTCTGTTTTACACATTTTGCTGTAATTATCAGACATTAGGAAGCGGGAAAGAAATGTGCCAGCATATGTTTTGTCCTCAATCTTGTTGCAAACTCCCCACATTTTATTTGAATTTATAAATAAAGTTATAAAACTCTGTTATATCATGAAGTTTTGAGGGGTTAATAATATGGAATACTGCCAAATATGTTTCCATTTCATGTAATTTAATTCTTCTTTATGTCTCTCTTTTATCTAATCCTTGCTGGTTTTCACACATACCTGTATGTGTTTAGGAAATATAGTTTTGTTTTAAATATGTGCCTTAGCTTATGGCAATTAAGATGAGCTAGAAATAACAAAAATTCATAAAAATTATAGTATAAATTGAGGATTTGTAATGTGATGTACCAGCTGTTTCTTTCTTTTTTGCACCAGGGATTGAACTCAGGGGCACTCTTAACCACCAAGCTACATCCCAAGCCCTTTTAATTTTTTTTTTTTTTTTTAGACAGGGCCTAAGTTGCTGAGCCTGGCTTTGAATTTGCAATCCTCCTGCCTCAGCCTCCCAAGCATCTGGGATTACAAGCATGCACTACCATGCCTGGGAGGCTAAGCACTTTCTAAGCATACTGTTATCACTGTTTTATAAATGAGAGTCCTAAAGTAAAGAGATGGCAAGCAACTTGCCCCAAATAAATCTACTTACTAAGTAGCAGAGAGGGATTTCCAATTAAGTCTAACTCCAGAGTCTGTGCTCTTAAGCATTATACTACAGCCTCTATGAAGGTGTATTTGCTAGATTACAAGACAAATAGCAGTGACATGTATTATCTGTGGCTTCTATGTTCGTATATGTAAGAATATCTAACACGGAACTAAAATCAGACTCAGCACCGTTTTATTGCTGAATTGGTATTGAAATAATCATCGTTGCCTTTCTTTATTGTCTGATCAAAAAGTTGATGGCAGGCACTTTATTTTCTTTTAATTTAAATACAGGCGATAGTAATACAGACTCGCTACAGGCAATGGCATGCTAAAGTCTTTGTAAGGGAACTAAAAGAACAGAAAAAGTTGAGGTTGGAGTGGGAAGCCCAGGAAGAACTACGGAAAATAAAAGAAAAAGAAGAATGGACGCAATTGGACTATCACCGGAGGCATAATCCTAAAACAAATGAAGACTTTGAACTTCTTTATAATGCACTAAACTGTAAGTTTGTCATAGGTTTTGAATAAAATATTAACTTAGAAATTTTTCATTAATAGGTAAACAGTTTTACTGAAGACAAAAGAAAGGCATGTTAGGCAGAAGTCTTGGGAATCTGATCTGAAGTTAGATGAATACTATCTTACATTTGGGACAGAAATTAAGGCCGAAACAACATTAAAAATGCTTTCATGCTAACAAATGTGCATATTGTTGTGTGAACTATATAGTTTAGGTATATTGGGTCATTTGATCCTTATTCACGTGAGAGAGAGAGAAAGCACTGTCTCACCTGGTTTTCTGATGCTTTGGGCAGTTTGTGAACTCAGAGGTGAGCTGTTTAAATCCCTCAATCCAGCATCCTGTGACTGTGCTCTTTAGAGAAGGTGTCAACGATACCTTTTAACCCCCCCAATAATAATAATAGTGAATGATTTATATCCTATTTCTTCTACAGTATGTGTGTTAGTCACTGATAAATGAAAAGCTTCAGTTACTTGAAAAAGGGTGACAGACACACCTCTGCCTTTCTTGAAACCCTTTCCCAATGGCCTATCTTCCAATCTCAGGACAAATGTCAACTACTCAAGGGTTTTGTGACTGACAATATAACTTGGATATACTATTTGTCATCTCGTAATCCTCACCCTACCCTTTTCATTTATATCATAACAATTCATAACAATACATCTTTTAACATTTATTTATTGACTGATTCTTTTTAGTTATTTATAACACTAGAGGATATATTTTGACATAATCACAAAAGCAGGGAATATAATTTGCTTCTATTCAGTCCCCAGCACTTCCCCCCTCCTCCCTCTATTCATTCTCCTCCCTTTACTGATATTTCTGCAATTTATGTGTTGTTTTTTTAAGTCAGTGTCTTACGTCTGAACTTGATGTTGGGATGCACTGTGCTGTATTCATGTATGTACATATGAAAGTGCAGTCAGATTTCATTGCACTCTTCTTCCTTTACCCATCCCTCCTTCATCCCTTCAGTCCCCTTGGTCTACTCTACTAATCTTTCCTCTGTTTTGATGAAATTCCCTCTCCTTTGTTCCCTTTTCTCTCTCCCATTGCCCTTATGTTGGATTAGCTTCCGCATATTAGAGAGAACATTTGACCTTAGTTTTTGGGATTGGCTTATTTCACATGATACTCTCCAGTTTCATCCATTTATTGGCAAATGCCATAATTTCATTGTTCTTTACAGCTGAGTAATATTCCATTGTGTGTGTGTGTGTGTGTGTGTGTGTGTCTATACCTCTGTTTAGAGTTTTAAACATTTAAAGTAGGCTTGGTTGGGTGCAATGACAAATGCCTGCTACTCAGGACACTGAGGCAGGAGATCACAGGTTCCAGGCCAACCTGGGCAAGTGAGCAAGATCATGTCTCAAAATAAAAATAAAAGGGGCTGAGGGTTTATTTACCTCAAGGGTAAAGCACTCTGGGCTTGATTCTCAGTAACACACACACACACACACACACACACACACACACACCTGCACACAAAAAAAAAACAACAAAAAAAAAAACCCAGAGCAACAATGGAAAATAGCCTGTCATTTGTTTTACAGTTGAACAAGGTCTTTTTATTCAAGGAAATTAGTCTTTTACTTTTCTATGATCATTCATAATATTAATTTTAAGTGATTTTTTTTCTGTCTTTACTTCCTTACATAACTTTTTTTTTAACCAGGAACTGAACCCAGGGCCACTTAGCCACTGACTCACATCCCCAGTTATTTTTATTTTTAGACAGGATCTCACTAGTTGCTCAGGGCTTCACTAAGTTGCTGAGGCTGGCATTGAACTAGAAATCCTCCTGCATCAGTCTCCTGGGACCACTGGGATTACAGGAATGTGCCACTGCACCTGGCCCCCTTGTATGACGTTTTGGTTTATGTTGTGAGTTCAATCACTCACGTCATGCTCTCAAATTGTATATAAGTTTAAGTGTTGGATTTTGAGTGTATTTAAATAGCTATGAGATAATACCCTACTTACTGGAGATGAAATAAATAAACACATGGCCTAACAAACACTTATCTCTTCAGTAACAGAAAAACCAAGTGATGTGGGAATGTTTACAACTTGGTGTAACAGTGTTTAAGGTAACTTCAAGCCTTCATAGACTTGTGTATCTGCTACCCTCTTTCTTCTAATCATTAATCTCTAGGAATACTGTTTATTTTATTTTAAACTTCATTTCTATTTAATTTTCTCTGTGAGATGATAACAATGGTTAATATAAGTGTCAGTATTAGAGGATAATTATAAAACTAACCTTATGTTAGAGCAGAGATCCATGAAAATGATAATACTCTAAATTCATACATGAATTAACTAAAGGTTGCCTTGATTATTTTTGTTTGTCTAACAAAAAACTCTGAAAAATACTGAAAAACATGTTGAATGAAGTTCTGCCTCTTCTAATTATTATTAGTGTTAACTAGAACAAGTTACTCACTTCTAAGCCTTAGTTCCTTTATCTATAAAAAGGACTCCATAGTTTCTGGCACACCTATTTCAGAAGGCTTAATAAAGTAAAAAATATAAAACATTATATGTATGAAAGTACTTAAAAAGTACCAGGGTCTATATGTATATGTGAATTGTTATTTTATGGTAAATAATTTTATTCAAAACTTGTATATCAAAATAGAACACATATGTCACATAAATCTACACGATTTGTATTGAGAAAAACAAAAATTAAACAAGATTTTTTTACATGAAAGACATATCTTACTTTCCTCCAATTCTAAAAATATAAATTAAAAACTTGGAGTAATAAGTTAAAATTTGTTTCACAAGCTCTTCTATTAAATATAGTTTTCTTCATTCCATATTCCTAACTCTGGTCCTTGAAACTGCTGCCCTCTTGTGGCTCATAGAGACAGTTATACAGTTTAAATTCATAATAGGAAACCACTTTTCCTCAAGACAAGCTGTCTTCCTATAATAAAAACAAAATGAAGTCAAGTTAAGGAAATAAATGTGACTGAGATATAGTGAAACAAAACCATTTCTAGCCAACATTTGATTTTTATGTCTTTTTTTCTTATAGTAATATGTTGAGGGTGACTTCCTTCACTACTCTGAATTGTCATGAGGGACAATAGAGGAAGAAAACAGGTGCTACAAAAGTACCTAGGTATCCTATATTTCAACAAAAGTCTGAAATAATTGAGTTGATTAAAAATTTTTAAATTTTTATATAAGTGGAATTATTTATAAGGAATATTTTCTATCTGGCTTTTAAAATTCAGTACTCTATCATGAGATTTTTCCTTGTTATTTGTGAATTTGTTCATTCTCATTTCTATAGAGTATGCCATTCCATGAATGCACCACAACTGATATATTAATTGTACTGTGGATTTGGGTCTCCACCCCAGTTTTGTCCAATACAAGTAGTGGTGCACAAATGTCTTAGGTAAAGATATGTGTACATTTCTCTTGGATGTGGATTTCTAGGAGTAGAATTTCTCATTCGTGGGATAGGCATATATTCAGCTTTAGTGGATCCTGCTAGATGATTTTACAGAGATTGTACTAGTTTATACTCCTTACAGGAGATTATGAAAATTTTAATTGGTCCATTGTCCTCTCTAGCATTCACCACTCTGTCTTTCTCATTGTGTCTTCCTGGAGGGTGTGCAGTACTACTACTCTGCCTCATTTTTCACAGAGGATCCAGTAGGTGAGATCAGGATGTTTGTCATGTGAGACAAACCCTCTTCCTCAGGAATAATTTACAAAATAAGTGAGATGGGAACTATTCTTTGTCCTAGGGATTATTCAGCAGGATCAAAGACCTGAAAAGGAAAGGGGGGAGGATTTGAAGAGGTTAATAAAGTGGTTCTTTGGAGGGAGCCAAGGCTGTGGGCTGTGCTTTGGGGTGAGGGCAGAGGGTTGTGCTATTCTCACTGCATGTCAAGTGAGAAGAGCTTCAAGAGAGTCCTCTAGGGGAGCTTTGGAATATTCCCTTTGTTTGAGGAATACAAAAGACTGCTGCTTACACCATGCCTAGGAGGGTAGATTGGAGTCTTTCTCTAAACTAGGAAACTAGAGGTCTATGAGAGAGCCCACCTCTGCATTGGATACTGGAGAGTGTTGCTGCATTGATATGTACAGCACTCTCAAGATTTTTTTTAACAGAGACACGTGTTTGTCAGAAGGCACTACACAGTAGAGACAGTGAATAAGTAACAAGGTGATCTGAGGTCCTCTTGGGCCCACCATTCAATAGAATCAACTGGAGAAAAGCTATTTCTTGCAGTTTGTCAGGAAGAAGCTTGAAGTGAACAGCAGGATCCTCCATAAGTGGCTACCTGGAGGGTGGATGCATATGTCTGAGTCCAGGGGAGTCACAGGAGGAGGGGTTCAGCTGAAGAGCCTCAGAATAATGAACTTGAGCCATCTTTCAGGTCTTCAGAGTGGGAATCTACCCATCCAAGTAAGACCTGCACCTTCCCAATTACCCATCTCCCAAGCCAAGTACAGAGGAGAAATAGCAGCTAGGGATGAGGACAGGCATCAAGCCGAGTCATACAGAAGGAGATATCCTTTCCACAACCTCCAGGGCAGGTTTGCATTTCTTTCATTTGGCTTGTCTTTTCATTCTTTTAATAGTTATCTGTCTCAGAGCAAAAGTCTTTCTTGCAGTTCCATTTGTTAATTTCTTCTTGTGTGGATCATGCATTTAGTATTTGTGTCTAAAAACTTTCTAAACCTAAGGCTGCAGAGCTTTTCTCCTTTGTTTTATTCTGGAATTGTATAGGTTAATGTTTTAAGTTTACAATCCAGTTCAAACTAAATTTATGTGAGACATGAGATATTGAGCTTAATTTTTTGAATGTTTTGTTTTTGAATATCCAATGGTTCCCATATTATTTGTTGAAAACAGTGTCTTTTCTCCCTTGAGTCACCTTTGTATCTTCATCAAAATCTTAGTCCATTCAGTCTGTGGTAACAAAATACTATCTGTTGGG